CTGTTTACAATGTTCAAAATTTATTAGAAGTTTGTTTTAAAACATAATAGAAAATTTTGCCTAGTCTAAAGTCTCAACTCTGGCCACGTTGGGGTTTTAACTAAGCAAAAAGAAATGTTTACCATCAAAGCCTCCTCAGTCTATTTCAACTGTGGCCAAATTGGAATGTGACTGACAAGGAGAGAAAATTATAAAATCCAGATATTTCTGAGTTAAAATTGAAAATAACCTTTTCCTTTGGGATAAACACGAAGAATCCTATCTGGAGAAGATTCTCCTAAGTTATCATTTAAAGGAAAACTCTTCAACAATATTAAACACTAAAATTAAATTGTAATATATCAGCAACTATACTTCTCACCACACTGAGGTAATTTAAAAGTGGATGTTTTGTTCCTGTTCTAATTTCTGAAAACAAAGAAAGGGGGAGAAAGGACAGATAGAAACACGTGTGTTCTTAATTGAAACAGTTTTAAGTTAAATGGTGTATTGTTTTTTAAATAAAACAAAGAAAGGGGAGTAAGGAATAAAGGAAGTATGTGTGTTCTTATTTGAAATGGTTTTAAGTTAAATGGTTTCTTGTTTTTTAAAATGTTAATGGTTTGGAACTAAGTGGTTCTTGTTCAATGTTAAATTGTAACATTGTAGTTACTAAACATTGAGCCTGTAACATGTCAAGCTAAAAATTATGTTAACAGTTTTCTAAATAAAAACACCACAATTACAATGATACATCAAGCATATCAATAATTTGGAATACTAAGCTTATAAAATTCAATAACAAAAATTTAAATTTTAAGGAATTGTGGCAGTAAATATTGCAGCTTTTCTAAAAGACGCAATTTGAAACCTAGCCAGCCTGTTAAGCAGTCAAGGTACCTGGGTGAGAATCCCAGTTCATCTCTTGGACCTTAGGAGCTCATATATCATTGGTCGAGAAAGTGAATGACAGAAATTGTACCTACCTCACAGAGTTACAGGACATTGAAATAACAGAGTTGTTTGTTTACAAAATATTTTTCTGTTTACAAACTGTTCTGTTAAGTTGGAATTGTGCACAGTACTAAAGCTAAATGTTTTATTAAGTTATAATTTTAAAAGAAGAAGTTTAAAGTTTTATGGTTATAGAATTAAGTTATAATTCTATTTTAAGCAGTTAAATGGTTATATGTGAAACCAGAAGGTACTAAATTCACACAACCACTCCTGAACATAAGCACTGCAGCTTCTGGTATGTGGAACTCATCACCATCTAAGAAAGCCAAATGTATTAAGCTAGGTAAAAGCCCCATTCCAATTGAATTTATGCTGTCAATGTAATCTTGCATGCAAAAGGACCCTTGCAGGTAAGATAACAGAGAACAAACTGCATATTTCTGTTTTAAATCTTTTATTCAAATGAATAAAAAAGAAACAGGGAATTGTCACAGTGCAAGCTGGATTGTACTGGTAGTTAATTTGGCCACATATGGGAGAAGCAGCCTGGCCTGACAGACAAGCCTCCAGGGAACAGAGATAGGACATAATTGGAGACAGACAAGGATTTGATCCAATGAGTCCCAGCCCAAGCTGCAAGAGCTATTGGTCAGAGAGCTGAGCAGCCTGAACTTGGAACCAATTAGAAGTGCTTACCTGGGAACATTAAGAAAGGTATTGAAGGTGAAGTCAGAACAATAAAAGTGCTTTTTGTCACATGGATCATAGAGTGCTGTGTCTCTGTCTCAGGCAGTGCCAGTCAATGTTACACACGGGGAAGACATGAGAAGGTGGGATGGGAAACCCACTTTTGTCCTGGCATCACAGGTGCGTTAACTCAGGGAGGGAAACACTAACCGAGGGAGTTCTACTAAAGTGAAGGTAGCCTCAGCTTCCCATGACCAAGGTGCAGGCTATTACAGAGGGGAGGATAATCTGCCAGACCCACTTGAAGGAACCTCTACTATGTATCCCAGGAAGGAAATAATAACCAGGGCTAGAGGGGCCCTACCTCTAGCCAGGGAGAGGCACAGGAAAACTGGGTCTTTTGGACGGTGTGGATCCGATGGCCTGGCACATCAGAGCCACAGAAAGACAGAGCATTAGTTGACACTGGTTTGCAGTGTACATTAATACCATTGGGACGTGGGGGAAGAACCAGTTTCCATTGCTGGGGTGATGGGGGGGACGGCAGGAATTGACTCTGTTGGAAGATGAGGTGAGCCTGACTGGGAAGGAGTAGCAGAAACATCCAATTGTGACTGGCCCAGAGGCACTGTGCATTCTAGGCATAGACTTCCTCAGGAACGGCTATTACAAAGACCCAAAGGGACTCAGGTGAGCTTTTGGAATAGCTGTTATAGAGGCAGAGGGTATTAAGAAATTGAACACTTTGCCTGGACTATCTGAAAACCCATCTGAAGTGGGACTCCTGAAGGTGGAAGAGCAACAGGTGCCAATTGCTACCTCAACAGTGCACCGCCGGCAGTACTGGACAAATCGAGATGCCATGATCCCCAAACACAAGATGATCCGTGAGCTGGAGAGCCAAGGGGTGGTCAGCAAAACCCACTCACCCTTCAACAGCCCCATCTGGCCTGTGCACAAGTCTGATGGAGAATGGAGATTGACTGTGGACTATCGTGCATTGAATGAAGTGATTCCACCGCTGAGCGCTGCCGTGCCGGACATACTGGAACTGCAGTACGAGCTGGAGTCCAAGGCAGCAAAGTGGTACGCCACCATTGACATCGCCAATGCATTCTTCTCCATTCCTCTGGCAGCAGAGTGCAGGCCTCAGTTCGCTTTCACCTGGAGGGACGTGCAGTACACCTGGAACCGACTGCCCCAGGGGTGGAAATACAGTCCCACCATCTTCCATGGACTGATCAAGGCTGCACTGGAAAAGGGTAAAGCTCCAGAACATCTGTAGTACATTGATGACATCATTGTGGGATGGGACATGGCAATGGAGGTATTTCAGAAAGGAGAGAAGATCATCCAGATTCTGCTGGGAGCCGGCTTCACCATTAAAAAGAGCAAAGTCAAAGGGCCTGCCCAAGAGATCCAGTTCCTGGGAGTAAAGTGGCAAGACGGACAGTGCCAGATTCCCAGTGAGGTCATCAATAAGATCACTGCAATGTCTCCACCGACCAGAAAGAAGGAAACACAAGCTTTCCTAGGTGCCATAAGCTTTTGGAGAATGCACATTCTTGAGTACAGCCAGATTGTGAGCCCTCTTTACCTGGTCACCTGCAAGAAGAACAATTTCCACTGGGGTCCTGAACAGCAACAGCCTTCACCCAGATCAAGCAGGAGATTGCTCATGCAGTAGCCCTTGGCCCAGTCAGGACAGGACCAGAGGTGAGGAATGTGCTTTACACTGCAGCCGGGAACAAGGGTTTATCCTGGAGCCTTTGGCAGAAAGTGCCTGGTAAGACTCAAGGCCAACCTCTGGGATCCTGGAGCCAAAGTTACAGAGCGTCCGAAGCCAACTACACTCCAACAGAGAAGGAAATCTTGGCTGCCTATGAAGGGGTCCAAGCTGCCTTAGAGGTGATTGGCATGGAAACACAACTCCTCCTGGCACCCTGACTGCCAGTGCTGGGGTGGATGTTTAAAGAAAAGGTTCCCTCTACCCACCATGCCACTGACGCCACATGGAGTAAATGGATTGCCCTCATCACACAACGTGCCCGTATTGGAAACCCGAATTGCCCTGGGATTTTGGAGATAATTACCAACTGGCCCGAAGGTGAAAACTTTGGTCTTGCTGACGAAGAGGAACAGGAACAGGTGACCCGGGCCGAAGAAGCCCCACCATATAACCAACTGCCAGCAGATGAAACATGCTATGCTCTTTTCACTGATGGTTCCTGCCGCATCGTGGGGATGAACCGGAAGTGGAAAGCAGCCGTATGGAGCCCCACACGACAGGTTGCACAAGCTACCGAAGGAGAAGGTGGATCGAGTCAACTTGCTGAACTCAAAGCTGTTCAGCTGGCCCTGGACATTGCTGAAAGAGAGAAATGGCCAAAACTCTACCTTTACACTGATTCATGGATGGTAGCCAATGCTCTGTGGGGATGGCTGGAAAGGTGGAAAAAGGCTAACTGGCAACGTAGGGGAAAACCAATCTGGGCTGCCGATGAGTGAAAAGACATTGCCACCCGGATAGAGAAGCTGCCTGTGAAAGTCTGTCATGTATCTATGGGGCCCATGTCCCCAAGAGTCGGGCTAATGAGGAACACCGACACAACGAGCACATGGATCAGGCTGCAAAGATAGAGGTGTCACAGACAGATTTTTAGATTGGCAGCACAAGGGAGAGTTGTTCCTGGCTCGATGGGCCCATGATGCCTCAGGTCATCAGGGCAGAGACGCCACCTATAAGTGGGCACGAGACCGAGGGGTGGATCTAACCATGGACAGTATTTCTCAAGTTATCCATGACTGTGAGACGTGCGCTGCCATCAAGCAAGCCAAGCGGGTGAAGCCCCTCTGGTATGGGGGGCGATGGGCCAAATATAAGTATGGAGAGGCCTGGCAGATTGACTACATCAAACTGCCTCAAACCCGCCAGGGCAAGCGCTATGTACTGACCATGGTGGAAGCCACCACTGGATGGTTGGAGACCTACCCTGTGCCTCATGCCACTGCTCGGAACACCATCCTGGGAATGGAAAAACAAGTCCTGTGGAGGCATGGTACACCTGAGAGAATTGAGTCTGACAATAGGACCTATTTCAAGAACAGCCTTACCAACACCTGGGCCAGAGAACAAGGCATTGAATGGATAGATCATATCCCTTACCACATGCCAGCTGCCAGGAAAGCTGAAAACAGTGCAATGGGCTACTCAAGACTACCCTGAAGGCAACTGGTGGGGGAACCTTCAAGAATTGGGAAACGAACTTAGCAAAGGCCACCTGGATGGTCAACACCCAAGGTCCATCAATCGAGCCGAACCTGCCCAGTCTGAACCCTTGCACAGAGTGGATGGAGATAAAATCCCTGTGGTATACATGAAAGGTATTTTAGGAAAGACTGGATTAGTCCCACCTCAGGCAAAGACAGACCCATCCGTGGGGTTGACTTTGCTCAAGGACCTGGTTATACTTGCTCGGTAATGCAGAAAGATGGAGAAGCCCATTGTGTACTGCAGGGAAACCTAATCTTAAGTGAGAACTGTGTGTAAGGTTTCATTATGCAGATGGTAATAGAATAAGGGGTGGATAATGTCTTAGGTTGCAATACAGGATGTGACCAGAAGTATGTATTCTATCACCATCTGTTGAAATCAGCTGGGGCAGTGATCCTTATCTCTGTGGGAAATATTCTCTGCTAATAGGCCATCTGTTAAAACCAGGTGAGGCAGTCATCTTTATCTTTTCCACAACCCATCCTTCCTCCAGGAAGATATCATCTGTTAATGGCCCATTGGGTCCCACTGAATGACTGATAAAATTGCATCATCTCATTGGGAGATGCTCCAGCCAGGAGGAGGAGCCAAGCCTTTCCTACTTAGATAAAAACTGAGATATGGAACACCAAGGCAGCCTTTTTCCACAGGATTCCAGAGGAAAAACCAGATCTTTCCACATCATCACTAGACCTTTGGAGGAAAACTGCACCTTCTACAGGACCACTGCTTCAACTGAACCACATCTGTCATCCAGGAGGATGCAGCCACCATTTAATCAGACTGCTACCAACACCCTTGACTGACTGACGGGGTGTCAGGTTGTATTCTAACTCTGTCAGTGTTTCTGGGTTTGTTTCTCTGTAATACTGTATTTCTATTTTAATTTTCCTAGTAAAGTACTGTTATTCCTATTCCCATATCTTTGCCTGAGAGCCCCTTAATTTCAAAAATATAATAATTTGGAGGGAGGGCGTTTACCTTCTCCATTTTAAAAAGAGGCTCCTGCCTTTCTTGGCTGACACCTGTCTTTCAAACCAAGACATGGCTATGCTTACTTGAAAAAAAAAAATAAGGAACTTTTGGTTATATTTTACCTGAGAAAAAAATAAGGAAATTGCAAAAACTATACTAAGCAAATAACTGTAGATATATAAATATCTGATAATTACACATGCAAAAAGAAAAGGTCATGAAAAAGACACTGAGGAAGACGCTAAGCCTTCAGCCAAAGACGACCGAAAGAGGGCAAACGACGCCCTAGCAACAGCGGGCGCCTGCGCAGAAGACGGCCATCAACGTGAAATCAAGGAAACGAAAGAAGGAGGGAGTTATCAGGAAAACGAAAACTCAGACTGTATAAAAAGCTGAACTAATGCTATGTGGTGTGCATCGTTGGTGGAGCAGTGACTCGCCGGAGCACCCAGCGCTGTTTGCTTGCTGCTTTTTCTATTAATAAATAATCATTGGAGAGACCATAATTTCTCGTGGATTTATAACATCACCCAGCCAGCTCTTAATCCAGCGAAGGGTACACCTATCCAAGCCGTGGGCTGCCAGTTTTTCCAGGAGATTACCGCGAAGAACGGCGGCGAAGGCTTTGTGCAGCCCGTGCACACAGCCTCTCCAGGGGACTACTGCGGGGAACGGCGGCACAGGCTTCGCGCAGCCCCGGCACACAGCTCCGCCCGGCGCTGCTCCGGCAGCGCCGCTCGCCCGCCGGGGCCCCGCTGCTCCAGAGAACGGGAAGCGGAAGGGACAGCACCGGGGCGGAGCAGGCCGGGGAGGACCGGGGCCATGGACTGGTCGCTGCTGTCTGCCGCCTGGTCCCTGCTGGGCGCTGCCTGGTCCCTGTTGGCCGCTGTCTGGTCCCTGCTGCTTGCCGTCTGGTCCCTGGTGGCCACAGCCTGGTCCCTGCTGGTCACCTCCTGGTCCCTGCTGACCGCGGCGTGGTCCGTGCTGACCATCGCCTGGTCCCTCCTGGCCTCCGTCTTCCTGGGGGCGCTGATGCTGCAGCAGGACCCTGGGACGCGGCGCGGTGGCTGCGACTCGGTTATCACCATCTTCTTGCGGGATCTCGTCCGGTACGGGAAGACGAAGCGCGGGTCCGAGCAGCTCCCGGAGTGGCTGCAGGTGCCCAAGAGGTGAGGGGCGGCCCTGCCGCCGCGGCAGGCCCTCCGTGTCTCGGTTACCGCAGCCCGGGGTCGCGGGGGTGAGCGGGTCACGCAGAGAGCACGGCGGGGTTTATGGAGCTGGGCTCAGCTTTGCTGCAAAGTGTTACTCTGCTTCTGCAGATGGGGAACTGAGGAGCGTGCAGACTGCGAGCGATCATACAGAATACGTGTGTTCCAGATCGGAACAAAAGCCTAATCCCCTCAATCTCAGTGGCATACGAGGTGTGCAGAATGAACCTCCCTGCAAGGCTCAGGTCAGGCACCTGAGAACGTGGAATCCTGAGTAACTGTGACTGCAAATATGCTGTAGGTTGACTGTCTTACACCAATTCTCAGTCGTTGCCTTCTCCCTTCAAGGTTTCTTTTTGAAACGTGGCCAATAATAGCATTGGAGCACAGCAGTCTGGACCTTGCATTAACAGACTCTGATAAGGCAAAAGAACCACTGCATTATCCAAATGCATCTTAAGAGATGTTTGATGAAACGAAATTAAATATATGTAATAATACCCTCTCCCTCCCCCGTTTACAGCTTTTCATATGTTTCTGATTTTGCATATTATGGGATTTCTTATTTTTTAATCAGCTGAGATTCATGACCAGAACTAGTCTTTGACTTGAACATAGGCTAGACAGGATCTTGCAAAGCTGGCAGGACATGACTGGGAGGCTACTTAGCCTGAAGATCTGATCTCCCCTATTGTAACAATCTCTGACACATTTTATGTTTAAAAAGCTTTTAAACCAAATGTTTAAAATATGTTTTGTGACACAGCATATTATTAATGCAAAAGTTGTAATGCAGTATCTTAGTTATCAGACTTCTTGACACAGAAAATACCCAGAGATGTGTTTAAAATGTGCAGTACCCTGAGTGAAAATAAGGATTCATAAAGGCTGTATCTTAGTCACTGTACTGCAGGTTCTTGTCTGAGTTGACCTTTCTCCAGCAGAAGTTTCCCAATACCCCTTCTTAGAGATTGATGTCTGAAGAATATGCTTTTTCAGGGAATTGGTCTCAAGGTCTGCAGAGCAATTCTGTTACTTAATCAGTGAATCCGTAACACTTCTACCTGAAGGAAGAGAGATCTTTCCTGAAGGTAGCCACCATTTTCTATTCTTTTCATCTGTGTCTTGTTTCCAGACACGCATTGTGTTTTCACTAGCCTGGGCTTGTTCTTAACTTTGCTATTCTCTCTTGTAAAATGTTCTGTTGCATATCAGGTTGGTTTGGCAAATAGTGAAAATTCCTCTTGTTGAGGAGAGATGTCACATGCACTGCAGTGCTGGTTTGATCTGTAGGTCAGATATATCCCCAGTGTAATTGGGATTGCTGAAACCTCAAGGGTGTGTCTCTTTTAAGTTGCCAGGGCTTTTTTTTGTGTGCTGGTAGCAAAATCAATGTGTGGAGAAAGTTCCCCAGCAGGTGACAAGATAGGAGTCAACTGAGTAGCAGGACTGCAGGGAAAGAGCTTGAAACTTTGAGGTAATAGTGAGTTTTTATCAATATACAAATTCTGTTTGTCTTATAAACAGAAAGTGAGGAAGAGGGGTTAAATTTTTTGACTGCTGTTGCGAATCAGCAGACAGAATGTTGCAGTTTCTGCTTGGTAGGAGAAAGAACTGAGGAGAAGTCATAATCTATAAGGAAAGACAGCTGCTACTGGGAAAGGTGCTCTGGAGCACTCAGGGATGCTCGCTGCTGCTGTGATTCTGACTTGATCTCTTTTGGGCTCTTGAGAGATACCTGAGCTGCTCTGGGAGAGGTTGCTTCCATTGGTTTCGCTAAGCAAGGGTGTTGTACCCCTTCACTGCCCCAAGAGAAGAGTTTGCATGTTCAACAGAAATATGGTCTTGCCTTGACTACACAGTTATATCCTCGTTTTGTACCTGTAGTTACCTTGTCAAGTCAAGGCCGTCAGCATCTTCCCATGGGACGTATTTTACCTCTTTGCACATGTTTCCAGAAGTCCTGATTTATCTTCACTGCCAGAAGGACTTAATTTTATAAACAAAAGGAAATACTGGATCATCTGGTTTGGGCTGGATATTGTAACAGCTGTATATTGCTGGATATTGTAAACAGCTGTAGGCTGTTTAACTCAGCCAAGTTACCTGCCTTGACTGTCATGTATTGCATTTTGGTAATGCACAGTATGCTTTTGTAAGTGCATTATGGGGCTGGGAGATTGTTTTCTTAAAAAAAGCAAACGTGTGGTCTTGCCTTGTAATCACCCAGCAGTGTTGATGGTTACTGCTTTTTTTCTATATGATTGTTGCAGACCTTTAATTTGCAGAAGGATAAGATATTTTAATGGAGAGCAAAGTAATTACTTCTGGGTTCCTTTGATGAACTTTAACATGTCATGTAATGCACCCAGTGGAACTGAGAAAAGTGAGACTGCTGTGAGGTGCAGCAACTTGTGAGGAAAAAAAGCAGAAAAATAATCTGGATGTGCTTTGAGGGCTGTAAATTATAAAGAAAATGTTATGTACATCACGATTATTTGTAAGCCTTGAGGAATACTTTTGCAATGTGTGGATTACACTGTCTCCTCTTTAGTACAGCTATGGTTAGTAAGGTAAACTAAGTTAGAGGTTATTCCAGGCAGCATTTCACTTGGGTAAAATGTGTTAAGATTATTCCTGCTTGGTACCACTGAAGTCCTGAGTTCTCTGCTTGGACTTTTGATGTGGGCACCAAAATGGAATGTACTCACCATCAGACAAGCATGTCCTGCAGCTACATTTCCAAGAAATGATGTGAAGATTAATGAAAACCTTTTTTTCTTCCCACAGGTGGTTTACTCACTTTTATGTGGTTTCTGTGCTCTGGAATGGTTTCCTGCTGATCTGTCTTTTCCGAGCTGAGTTCCTTGGAGAGTCACTCCCATCATGGATTCAGAACATGCAGCATGCTCTTGGCAGAGATTCTCAGAGCAAGGACACGGGCAAGTATTCCAGATATTATAATGTAGCCATATAAATATTTTAAAACTGTATTGCCAACACTGTGCTGAATTTGTATCCAAGTGCTACTTCATTGGTTGCTTTTCAACTACGTTCCAAATTACTTTCCTGGTACACCAAGTACCTTTGTCATTGCTGAAGATAGAATACTTTTAATTTATGGATATGATGGCTTTCAGCAGTCCTTTTAACAAAAAGGGCCATTAGCACCTTCTGGAAAAAATCTTGCTCTGGTCAGCAGTGCCTCGCCTGTAGAAATATTTTTCACACTTAATTTAAAATGAGGGTAAAATTCTGTTGTGGGAAGAGGGAACAACAGTCCTTTTGAAGCACTGTCAGGGTTAAATTGTTCCTGTCTATTTCAAAGTTGCTGGTTTTTATCTGTAAACAGATAGTGAGCACTTCTCTGCGCTCCTGGTTCTCTTGCTCCTTTGGCTTCATAGCTGTCGAAGACTTGCAGAATGCCTCTGGACCAGTGTGTTTTCTAATGGTGTCATTCATATCGTGCAGTATTGCTTTGGACTTGGTTACTACATTGCTGTTGGCTCAACTGTACTGTGTCAAGTACCTACTAATGTCAGGAATGGTAAGTGTCTGCTTAGTTATCATCAAAGATGCAGTTTTGCTCTCATTTGATTCCACTGTGGCAAATGGTTTTATAGAGGGCTCCTTGTTTTAGAAGTGTGTTAACTGATGAGATATAAAAGTACTTTCTGACATAGTTCAAAGTAATTGCATTTCAGTATAACATACAATCAGCCAGCATTATACGCAGACACAGACAGGGATACACTTTCATGTTAAGCATCATGGTTATTTGCTGAAAGGATACAGATCAAATGCTTTGTGAGGGACTGTAATAGGTACCAGTTCTCAAATGCCATACACAACTTCAGTTCTCAAACTGAAGAGGAGTTTTTTTTGTTCTAAGCTTTCCTGCAAGCTGAGTCTGCAAGGCTATCTTGGCCACTTCCTTTTTCTTCCACGGAGAACTTGCCACTGCTCTGCCTTCACTCAGGCAGTGTCTTCTTTCCCTTGATATTGTAATGTTTCCATTGATACATGAGAAATTTGTATTATATGACTTGTTTCTGCCAACACATTCCGTTTGGTCTGACAACTGAGCTGCTAAATCCTCTGCATAGATGAACCATCAGCTGGCTGTAGCACTCCTCCAATGATTAATTTTTGTGAAGCAGTAATTACCAAGTTTGGTGAAGTTTTTAAGCGCTTTGAACCCTGTCAGGCAGGGGATGGTGTGTTGGTGTGTGCATGTATGTGTATCACTGTGAGGAAGACAACTGTGTGCTTGCATGTTGACCTGACCCATGACAGAATGTTTAATTAGGATAATAATAGTTACAAACACTGTTGAATATTGAGGTCTTAGACTACCAATTATGTATCGTTGTACATCATGCTGTATTTTAAGATGATGGATTAATAATTAGGTATTTTAGTATAGACCAGTCAAGGGAAATTAGCTACTAGCTGGGCACTTCAATGATACAGCGATTTAAAAGCATCTTTCAAGGAATTAGAGGCTCACTACTAGAATTTTGTAAGACAGTGACATTTGAAAAAATGTATATAGTGTTTTGGGATGATGCTTGGGATGTTACTTCCTGGCCGTATATTAATAAAACATGTTTCATTCAGGAAAAAAGCTTTCTGTGCAGATCTGCTGGTATCACATTATAGGAGTTATGATGTACATTTGGGCCTCTCTTCACCAACATAGATGCCTTGCAATTCTAGCTAATCTTAGAAAAAGCAGATCAGGTAAGATATTTCATTTCTGTCAACTATTTATATAGATTTTTTTTCCTAGTTATTTCGATAGGCTCCTATGGCCTCTAATACCTCAAACATGAGTATTTGTCAGTTCCTGTAGTGTGTTGATTAAACGAGGCTGTTTGGATGGCTGAACTGGGGGGAGAGGGTGTGGTATGTCTGTATACATAATTGTCAAGCTTAAAATGAAGCTCTGTCTTCTAACATCCTAAGGATAGACATGGTTTCCCTACTCTGTGTTTGCACCGCCAGAGGTGGCATCTTATTCCATTAAGTGCAAAGCTGCCAGATCAGATGGAGGTGGAAGATGATGATTAATAAGCATATTGTTCTGTAATTGTGAGAAGAGTTTATTTTAATGCATCTTCCCAATTAATTTCTTTCTGCTTGCTTGCAGGAAAGGTTGTAAGTCTGAACTACAGTGTACCTTTTGGAGACTGGTTTGAGAGCGTTTCTTGTCCTCATTATTTTGCAGAGCTCCTCATATATATTTCTATGGCCATCACACTTGGAATTCACAATGTCACATGGTGGTGTGTAGTTATGTATGTTCTTTTTAACCAGGCACTGGCTGCTGCTTTGTGTCATGAGTTTTATCGGAAAAACTTCAGCTCCTACCCAAAACATCGAAAAGCATTTATACCACTTGTTTTTTAGAGAATTTTTTCTAAAGTATCTTCATGCAAACTGGGAATATAAGAGATTTATGGTTTATTAAAACCAAGGTAAAATCACACATTTTCTCTAATTCTAACTCAAAAGCTCATAATTTTAATGATAATCTCGTCCATGTAGCCAATTTGTGAGGAAATGCCAGGTCTCTGCATATTATGCAAGCTAAAAAAGAGATGCTAATTGTGTCTTTTCTCTTTTATAATTATATCTTATGCCTAAAACACATACAGCAAGTCCAAATTCATACATGTGAAAACTATTGAAAGGAAGGAATCATTTGAATTACTGAATTACATGCCTTGACTAATATTTAAGCATATTTCTTTCCAAGTCTCTTTCCTTTGAGTCACTTCAGAGGAAGACAAATTGTGTATGTTTCTGTGCTTTCCTGGTCACAATGAAAATCAGCCACCGCTTTACAACTGTAAGCACAAAAAGTGATGGAGAAAGCTGCGGTGGAGGAGTGACTCATGCTCAGCAGTGGTGATAAACAGAGCCATTCGCTGCATCGTCTCTTCTGCACCAAAGTGGTTTTGTTCATTGATGAAGACTGCTTTATCCATAAACTGGGAAGACAGTGGAAGGTTCTCTGACTAAAAAGACAGTAGAAGAGAATTTGCAGAAAATTAATGTTCTTTGTTGTGGTTCTGTTGTCTTTATAGTGGATTCTTGGAGTCACTCGTGTGTTAGAGGGGACAGCTGTGCAGGATGACCATGACCACAACTACACTGTTTTTTAACAGATAAAATGACATGACAAGGCAGAGCACACACAGAAAACAGTACCTGAACAGGTATTGCAAAGAAATTCTTTACATGGGAAAAGATGATGTCGTTCAGCTCAGAGACTTTTTTTGCACTTAACTATTGAATATTTTGGGTCTTCTCACAATACTGGTGTAAATGATCAGTTTGTGTGATACCGATGATTGAGAGAGAGACAGAGACTACTGATTTGTGATCAGAATCCAAATTTTACTGTGAGGTACATATGTTTATATACGTTTTCAGGAAGGCTAGTATTTTTTTACTACATTCATTGGGTTAAACATCACACAGACAAACTTTACATTTCTCCTTAGTTAAATCTTCTTTCCTGTCAGCCAGTCTTGATCCAATCTTCTTGTAATCTTCAAAGCTCTGTTGGCTCTTGCCAAGGCATCTTGGTTATCAAACTGTATATGCTAATTAAATCTACAGTGCTCTCAGTCTCAGTTACCACAGTGTGATGAAGTGCTAGTGTTTCAGCACGTTGTCCATTTACATGCATACATTATTTTGTATATAAGAAGTACTTTTTTTACACTGTGTAATTCATAAGTATATCTTATTAATTGCCTAATTAAAAGCTTGTTACACTCTGTTTCCTTTTTTTATGGTCTTTCAAGATTGAGCTTAAGTATTTGAAAACATGAGCAATCACTTTATACAAAATGTTGTGCCTCTCTTGGCTGTCGCATCCCTTTCTCCATCAACACTCCAGTTGCAGTTTCAGTTCACCACTGAACATCAGCAGCCATGTCTTGGAACTGCATCGATCTGTGTAACTTTTTAAAGTGGTTCTCGAGAGGCTCCTTGAGCCTGTGTCCAAATGTCTTCTGTTTAAATGGTGTTCTTGTCCTGTTTCCTAAATTGCTCCTCAGGAAGCACATTCCTGTCCTTGCTCTGGGGAGAGCATCGTGGCACACGTCTATCTTGGGGTGCCCTGGAAAAGCATCCTCTGAAGTGCTGTATCAAGTTCTGGGCTCCTCAGGAGTACAGGAGGGACATGGAGCTCCTGGAGCAGGTCCAGCAAGGCCAACAGAGATGATTAAGGGATTGGAGCATCTCTCTTACACAAGGGAAGGTGGAGGAAGCTGGGCCTGTTCAGCCTCAAGAAGACACTGAGAGGGGAACTCATCAATATCTACAATATCTAAAGGGGGGTGGTGCCAAGAGGATGGATTCGGGCTCTCCTTGGTGGTGTCAGCCAACGGGACAATGGGCAGAAACTGATGCACAGGAAGTTCCACCTGAATATGAAGAAGAACTTCTTTACAGTGCAGGTGAGTGAGCACTGGAACAGATTGCCCTGAGCGGCTGTGGAGTCTCCCTCACCGGAGATAGTCAGGACCTGCCGGACACAGCCCCGTGCCGTGTGCTCTGGGATTGAGCAGGGCTTGCACGGGATGAGCGCCGCGCTCGCTCCCAGCCCGACCCGTTCTGTGATTCCGTGCTCGGGGCGCACGACGCTGCTAGGGTCACGCATACACCAAGCGCTGCTGTGCACTCGGTGCAACGAAACCGAGACGTGTCCGGGCCGTTCCTACGCGGATTTTTTTGCCGCCTTGCGCAGCCGCTCCCCGTCCATCCCGCTACGCCCTTTCCGTGCCCGTAAGCAACTCCGAACGGGGAAGGGACGCGCTCGGACGCGGCCGCTCCCCGGGAAGGCGGCACAGGCGCGGCGCCCCGGGCAGCGAGCGGCGGGGCGGGGCGGGGCGGGGCGGGGCGTGCGCGACAGGAAGCGCGCGGGCGCGGGCGGCGGCGGGGCCGCGGCGCGGGCGGTGACGCGGCGCCCTGAACCGGGGCTCGCGCCGCCCCCCAGCTCCGCGCTCGGCCGCCATGGGGTCCCCGCCGCCGCTCCCGCCGCTCCCGCGGGCCGCCGCGCTGCTGCTGGCGGCCGCGCTGCTGCTGGCGGCCCCGGCGCGGCTCCGCGCCGCTCCCGAGGAAGAGCCCGGCAGGAAGAAGGAGCCGCCGCCACCGCCGGCGGCGCAGGGAGCGGAGCCGCGGGCTGAGGTGAGGCGGGGACGGGCCGCGCCGGCTGCCCGCGCCGTGCCCCTCCGGCAGCGCTCGGCCGGCGCCGCGCTGCGCCTTCCGGAGGCCATCGGGCTCCGAAATTGCCCGCTTATAGCAGAAAAAAGGAGGGCTGCATCCTCCGCTTTCTCTGCTAAAAGAGGGACGTCTATGTCCGACATGGGAAGGGGGTCAGTGCTCTCTTTCCGCCGCAGAAGCAGCTGAAAGCAGGCTTTGTTGCTTCTCCAAAGGTGCCAGGTTTTTTTTCTCGGATCAATTAATATAAATTCCTTTGCGTTAAAACTTATTAAACAGTGTTCTCGATGAGGGGATGCTAGTTCCACTGATCACACAGAGGGGTGGAAAAATTACAGACATGCGGCTTGGTGTAGCACATCGAGCATGCCAGGTGTCACATACCCAAACCAGAAATCATTAGAGTGCTGCGAAAGGTGAAGGAGCTCTGGGAAGTCACAGTGTGTCACAGAGTGTAGGAGCTAAATATCAACACCAGAAAACTTGAGAGCACTGCTGAAAGTGGAATGCTGGGAAGCCATCGTGTCAAAACACGCTGCGAGCTGTCTCTGCTGGTGGATGTGCTGGAACAAGCTTTCTCAGCCAGCCCTGGTCAGGGATGTGAACATCGGTATAGAGATCTTGGGCCTTTCTTTTGATCATGGATGCCTTACTGTGTGTAGAAGTAAACACTTCGGTGAGTGAGTGGGAACTGCAATGTGCTGTTTTGGTTTCACCACTGGAGAGTCTTAAAGTTAGTTTCAACAAACACAGAGGAAGTGCAGAAGAAGCTGATGAAAACTGGCACAAAATTTGGCTTGGGCTCAAACGGAAAGAGGAGAAATATAGGCTAGATATTGGGAAGAAATTCTTCCATGTGAGAGGGATTAGGCACTGGTACTGGTTGCCCAGAGAAATTGTGGGTGTCCCATCCCTGAAGGTGTTCAAGGTTGGATGGAGTTCTGAGCAATCTGGTCTAGTGAAAAAGACCCCGTTCCAGGGGTCTTGCTAAGGTCCTGTCCAACCCAGCCCATTCTATGAATCTATAAAATTTTAATGTGTCCGAGATGCAAAGATTTTGCAAGGGATGAAAATGATCCTGACCTTTTTTGAAGGGGCTTCTCTTTATTTCCTACGGTATCATAGTCACCCAGTTTTATTTTGAAGCACTTACTTATATCAGAAAACTTTTTAAGGTTAAGGTCATAAAATAGGTTGGGATTTTAAAGGTGGCAGTATTAGACCTGAGCTGACCATGTTTTGTTGTAATGGTGGTTCTCATGTTCTGGTAATAGTGTGCAAGGTGAAGTAATGTTTTAATAATCGGCAAGATCCTCTTGCTAAGTGCCTAACTAGCAATTTGAGGTGGGTGGCAGCCAGGCAGCCACGAACTAGTTAACAATCATTAATGAGCATGAGAGGTGTCTCTGCTTAAAATGTCACTCCTCACAGAATGGTATGACGGGAGAAATACAAGGCTTTGTATTTCTGTGTACTAAGCATTCAAGCCTAATTGATGAATGTTTATAATTTGTCTTTTTCTCTCCGCCCCCCCCTCCCCCCCACCCCCCTTACAGAAAGGCTCGTCACTGGTTGCTCCAGTCCACATTGTCAGTGAAGAGTCAGCTGACAAGACTAACCTGGGCTTTATTCATGCCTTTGTGGCTGCTATATCGGTCATCATCGTGTCGGAGCTGGGGGACAAGACCTTCTTCATCGCCGCCATCATGGCCATGCGCTACAACCGTCTGACTGTGCTGGCTGGTGCTATGCTTGCCCTGGGACTGATGACGTGTTTATCAGGTTAGCACTCTGCTTTTTTCTGTTTTCTTTTACCTCTTAAGAAGCTATGGATGTGTATTTATCAAAAAAACCTTAATTGGAATGCAGGTAGTATGTATATGTAGTCTTCTGTTTTGAGGAGAGTGTGAAGCTTTTCCTGTGGAGCATGGAATCTCAGATCAAGTATTTAGGCTCTTTCCTCTAATTAAGTATTTGTGTTCCCTAGGCTTCAAGTGGAGTTTAAGGAAAGGGAATGAAATGGAGAGCCTAAGTGCTTCCTTTGATTTTTGGACTAGTTTATGTTTTGGGTTTTTTTTTCTCCTATTAAATTAGTGTGCCTCAAGGGAATGTGAAAGTGGCTTCTTCCTCCTAAGGCAAAAGATTCTTTGTATGATGACACATTTTCCTCATCTTACTTGTATTCCTGCACACATAGTTGCTTGTGCTGGGAACTGTGTAAGTGGAAGATGGAGGGGAGGGAGCGGGAAGTAAGGTATCAGGTGGCACTTGAGGAACCTGGGCTGTGGGCACTTACATAGCTGTGATTGTAAAATGGAGCAGCCTTCAGGTATATCAGATGCAGCTCAGAGTTTGTCTGTGTGCTCATTTCTAACCATGCCCATTTCAGAAATACTTTAAATAGTGGTGATTGGTTCATACATGCTGGAGACAGCCAGCTCACTGGCACAGGCTGCTTGGCAAGTGTTTCTGTGAATGGTTTTTGGGTGTGTAGCTGTTGCCGTGTACACTGCTGCGATTATTGCAGTTTAAGTTAGAGCAGTTTCCACTTGCATTGTGTGTAATTTCTCCTGCCCATTATGACTCTCTTTTTCTATACAAATTCTTTCTTCAAATCTTTTTTAATGCTTTCTCATAAAAGCTTCCTTTTCTGCTTTTATCCCCCAGTTTAGAGGTTTCCAGTTATTTCTTCCCTGTTCAGAAAGGAACTTGTTTTGTTGTTGGGGTCTTCTTCCTCCACACCCCTATCTCTTGCCCTTGTTTTATGCAAGCTGACTTTGGAATTTCCTGGGGGGTTTGCCCACCTTGATTTCATGAAGACTTGCTCACTTAAACTCATTAGTTCTAAGTAATGTACATGGGTGTCTTATTTGACAAAATGAGCTGTCTTGCAGTTCTGATTATTTCACTGTGCCTATGCTTATATATGCAAGAAATGCTAAGAAAAAGATAGCTTTTTTAATCTAGCTTTCTTGCACTGTTTTACTGCAATATTTTCAGTCTTTTTAAAGATCCTTGGTTTAACTCCTGGTTTATTTAGCTTTGAAAATAGTACTGCTATTTGTGTATGTATGTATGTGCAGTGTTTATGAGTAATAAGGCTGATTAATTCTGGTCTCATTCTTACTTCTGGTAGTGGCAGTACGGAATTATTTCTAGCTCATGTAGTAACTTCTGAGTGCATTTTTCAACTAAAGAGGTGTGTACAAAAAAGCACACGTGGTAATATGCTTCCTTTTAGCTAACTGATTGTGGAATAGAGTAGCAGAAACACTTGTGAGTGCATGGTCCAAGCAACCTTATATATAATGTGTGGACTTTTTATTTCTTCCCGTTTATATCGGCCTTTTTCTGTTCAAAAAAAGCGCTAAGTTGTCTTTGTAAAAACTGAGTACTTTGTCCTGGATACAGACTTCTTATTTAAGAACTAGTTTTGGCTTAGTTTGATCACCCTCAATACCTCTAAAAGATGTGCTGTGAAGGTTGCTTTTCAGTCTGTAAGTGAGATCTGTCTTTGAAATAAAGAAAGATTAAAGTTGGTCACATTGCGTGTATGTGGGGAATATGGGGGACAAGGGAATAGTAATGTGCATTTGGCAAAGGAAGACGGGTATGGATTCACCCAGCTGGATGATTTGTAGATATGCCTGGTAGATTTACCTCGTTGAAAACCTTATTCTTACTTTATCTGATAAATTAAATTATTGGAAAGAGATGCTATCTAACATGTAAATAGAATTAACTGGGGTACACTATGACTAATCTAACACGATTACAGATGGTAGTTACACGGTGTGCATGGAGAAAGGCAGGACTTGCATAGACCTTGATGTGAAAGATAATTTTGTTTGGACTGGCTCTCGAGAACAGCAGCACCTCAGCATTGGCTGGAGTGCATTGTCTGTGTCGTAGTGGACTTCAGTCTCTGGCATGACCAGTAATGGTTGGGATTTCTAGAGTGTTATCTCCCAAAAACTTAGAAAATTATACAAAACTAACAAAAGATGCAATAACTTATTTATCAGTGGATATTTGGATTGCAGACCTTGCTAGCAAGCATTTCTTAGATGTGAGAAAAACAATTTTGATCCTCATGATTATTTTTTTAAATGACACATTTGTTTTCTTTTCAGTTTTGTTTGGCTATGCCACCACGGTCATTCCTCGTGTGTACACATACTATGTGTCAACAGCACTGTTTGCAATCTTTGGCATCCGAATGCTTCGGGAAGGCTTGAAAATGAGTCCAGATGAAGGTCAGGAAGAGCTGGAGGAAGTTCAAGCAGAAATTAAAAAAAAAGACGAGGAAGTAAGTAATAAAATTGCTGCTAGTTACAGCTGGTGGAAGAATTACAGCTGTGAAGCTGCAGAGCAGCACTGTCATGTTTGGGGTGATCAGTTGTGTCTGTGGCTGAGAAACTGTCAGAAACCACAGAAAATGTGTAGTAGATGGGATGGAAGTGGCCCCTGGAGGCTCTTTCAGCAGGCGATTCCAGTCCTGTGGCAAGCTTGGCCGCTTAGGAGAGAGGGGACCTTCTGCTTAGGGTGGGTGTTTTTGACGTGTTTTTAATGCATTACTTGCAGAGAGGACACCAACAGTTGATTCTTGGGTCTACTTTTATCTCTTTTTATGGTCAGACACTTCATTTGTAGACAGTACAAGATGGACAATAATCAGAGGTTAGAGCTGCTTACAGCTACATGTATGTGTATATATTTCCACACACGTACATGTGTGCATATACTTAGCTATATTTTTGTAATGGTGACTGAATAAATATGTTGATAATGCAGCAGGCAGTGGCTAATAACGTTCTAGAAACGAAATGTCCAGCTTTATTGTTAAGTGTTTCATTTGAATTGTTTAGATGACATTTTAATATTATGGTTATTTTTTGTATTTTTTTTTCTTGACCTCCACAGCTTCAGAGAACTAAACTGTTAAATGGGCCAGGAGATGTGGAATCTGGGCCAGGCACCACTATACCTCAGAAGAAGTGGCTACACTTTATTTCACCAATCTTTGTTCAAGCTTTTACATTAACATTTTTAGCAGAATGGGGCGATCGTTCCCAATTAACAACCATAGTCTTGGCTGCCAGAGAGGTGAGTGTTGCAGAATCCCTGCTGGTCTTTTGCCTTCTTTGGGTTGCCCATAGAGAGGTAAGAGACAAAATACTCTTGCAGGAGGTGCCCTGATGTGCCTTATGTAGTTTGTGTCAAGACTTGACAGTAAATGCACTGAAGCTCTGTGTAGTATTAAAACTACTGTTACATGATTGGAACTGCCCTGGCATTTCTGGAAATAGCTGCTTTATGTCATGCAGTTGAAATCAATTGGGTTTTGTTACAGTGTTGAGAGATGTTACAGAAGAGATGTTTCTTTGCTCTTTGTGGTAGTTCAGTTTTAACTGGGTATCTTTAAAAGATACTTCAATTCCATCAAGCTTTACATTGTTAGAGACCTCCTCAGATACCTGTTGTTAAAATACGAGTTAATATGGTACAGTGCATAGAAGGACAATAAATTCTAAACTGCTGGGCACTAAGTAATGCTGTAAATTAAATTATATGCATTGTGGTGATTAGAGTGTATATAACTGTATTGTACTTAAAGGAAAATGAAGTCTTGTAGTCAAGCTTTAAATAAACATAAGTAGTTTACCTGTGCTCTTTCATGCGTTGAGATAATTTACATTTTTTTCTCTAGGACTCCTGCTTCTTTCAGGTGCACTTTCAGATGTTCCTTAGGGATAAATCAGGGCTGTTTAATGAAGGAGGCTGTAACCTGCAGGAACCTCTTTTCTCTGTTACAGTGTAGGGAAGATGTTTAGAGCTAACAGCAGGAGAGGATGATCTCATTGTTCTTGGAAAAAAAGGTAGCACTACAGCCTCTGCTCAGTTTGCTAGGCAAGTTGCTTAAGTCCATCTTTTTATTGAGGATTGTTGACTTCTGGTTTGCATTTCCAAAGTGTCCCCTTAGGAAGTGTCTGTCAGACTCTTTAGTCTGGTTTGTGAAGTGCTGAGCACTGTAGTTAAAACCTGTGGGCTGTACCTGTAGAATATGAAATACTCATAAGAGTGCTACCAAACAAAAAATTAATTGAAGGTATCTTGATACTGGTTTCAAAAATCAGTGAATAATTGTGATGGAATGGGGGAGATGAGATCCACCTTCTGCCAGTGAGGGCTATATAGGTAATTGCTGGCCATAGGGATATCCAGATACTCTGGGTCCTTATCTTGGGGGCCTGTTTGTTCTGCTGGCCCAGCCCTGCTTCTTCCTGCATTTCTTGGTGCTTTCCAACCTGCCAGCTGCTTAGTGCTCGTCACGTTTTCTCACTGGCTTGTGGTTCTGGTTCTTTTGAGCCAGTAAGTGTTGTCTTCAAACCTTAGACAGTTTTGCTGTTTGCCTTTTGAGATTTCATGCATTCCTCAGGTGATGGCAGCAGCTTTTTTTTTTTTTCCTCTTGGAACTAAAAGTGTCACATAGAGATGAGCAGGGGACACATGCTGACCTTAACTGTGTAATTTCTAAGGAGATCTGAGAAACCTCTTTATGTCGTGCGTTGTTCACACACTGAGGAGCTGCTTGTTATTCAGTGATGTGAAAAGCTATTGTTGACAGTAAATTATAAAATAATTTATTATCCTCTGGACTTCAGATCTTTCATGCTTCTGTCATTGAATTATAGAGTGGGGCAGAGTGTAGCACACAAGTGGGTGAAGCAGGGCAAAGAACTTGCAATGCTGTAGCTGCTGAGAGCTTTCATTTGCAGTTCAAGGACTTATCTCTCTCTTTCTTTATAAATAGGTTGGTGTTCTTCCAGCTGATGTATATTGTGTTTCTCAACAGCTTCCACCTTCCCTCTAGAGGTTGCTTATTGGTTTAACTACACTGGAGCAATTTCTGGATCTATAATTAACAACTTAAAGATGCTGCTTGGCTGAAGCATGCTATATGCTCCTATCTTAGGCTGGGTTTAAGTCTGTCTCACCAGCTGATGTTCACTATTGCTAGTCTTTAAGACAGTGCTGAACAGCAGAGCAGAGGAATCACCAGAAAGTATCCTCCATGCTTGGCAGTCTGCAACCAGGGAATCAAAGCACTGCTCCAAGGTTGTTGTAGGACTAGTAAGTTTTCAACAGTGCTGATTTGTCCTTTTGTGGTTTTTTTTTTCCCTTAGGACCCCTATGGTGTGGCAGTAGGAGGAACAGTAGGACATTGCCTATGCACTGGTTTAGCAGTTATTGGAGGGAGAATGATAGCACAAAAAATTTCTGTTAGGACTGGTAAGTGAAAACTCACTCCAACCAAAAAAACGTAATGCTGGTAATGTTTGTGGTGTAGAGAGCTGCAGGCTTGGGAACAGTGCTCTTCAAAATTTTTGGAAAACCTATAAAAACTGGTACTTTGTTTTGGATTATTTGGGGATTTTTTTTTTGAGTCTGTCTTACATCCCACCTCGTTTTGCTTCACTATTAGCTACTCTTTTTAGGAGACCAGAGGAAGAAAATACACTATTTTAAATGGTTAGTATTTATTGTTTGACAGTGGATAATAAAAATTCGGTTGCAATTCTGAATCTAGTCAGGTGAGCAAGAGAACTACATCCTAATGATTTACACCAGCCATTTAAAAACCATAAAAGCTACTCTGTGTGGCATATTTTTTTTTTTTTTAATCATACCTGCTTACTGCAACAGGCAGGATCAGTGAGGTTACATTGGGTTGTTTGTTTTACCTTAACTTAGGTTGCAGCCTGCTTCCACTGTCAGTCCTATGATGTGAGATTTCTTCTTCCAAGAATAATCCTGTGAGGCAGCTGTGAAGCTGTTTCCTATATATGTTCATTCAGAATATTTGTTCTGTAGTTTCAGAGGTGGTAAAAAAACAACTTCACTTCTAAAAGTGAAGCATACACTCAGTTGTGTTTCTTTGCTGAGGAAGTTGGTGACAAAATGCTAATCTAACAATGGTTTCATATTCTGCAAGCACAATGTGGGTCTTCAGCCACGGGAGTAGCTTTAGATTAAACCAAAGATTCTTCTAGCACGTTAGTTTGTTAAAAGAGTTGGGGAACATGTACAGTGGTGCTTTCCCAGAATTCTGTCCCAACCTCTAGCAGTCTGTGGCCATTGCAAGCAGTTCATGCTTTTGATACTTTTTCTTTCCATACAGTTACCTAAATGTGCAAAAAATGCTAATTATATGTTAGTCCCAATTGATGGCTTGCTCTGGCATGAGAATATTCTACTGTATTTTCTGCCATACAGCCAAATACTCAACAGCAGGTGTTAGCCTAGTTTTATACTGGCTCAAGTAATGAGTAAAGCAAAGCTTCTTTCTGTGGGCCAGAATATATTCTTGGAGATGCAGTTGGACAGTGAGTTGGCAATATGGGCATCCCAGTACTGAGCTAGAAGCATCATCCCCTGCTTGTAGCATGAATTTTTATGTAAGGCTATTTGGGAATCAGACATTTTAAAAAAACAATCTGTAATGTGTCATGGAAGATAATTACTTTTTGCATCTAATTTCTTCTTGTTTTGTGTTTTGTTTTCAGTGACAATCATAGGAGGCATTGTCTTCTTAGCATTTGCATTTTCTGCACTATTTATAAGTCCAGACTCTGGTTTTTAATACTTTTCATTGCTGTAAAAGAACAAGGATTGGAAGCATCAAGCAGTTATCCTTGTGCATTTTTGTATATAATGTACAGAATAACTAGTTAAGTGCTGAAGATGAGACACTGAACTTTTTATAGCGGATGATTCATGGGACTGATGCATTTATGGCCAGCTTCTGCATTGGAGATCTGCTTATTGTCTGGTTTGTTTGTGCTGTGGTGCCTGCTCCCATGGTGGGATTTGAGTGGTTTTCTCACTTGCTGGACCTGGCTCAGCTGAGTTCAAGGATCTACTCTCCAAAGTATTGAGAATTCCTCTTTGCTTCCTCTGATACACACAGCCACATTTCCTCTTTTTTCAAGAGCTGATTCTTCAGGCCTCTTGAAGCAGACTGTGTTAAGGAGAAAACTGCTGGCTCCCACCTCCAAAGATGGTGGTTCCATGGTGCACCTGAGGCTGGATAATTCAAGCAACAAGAAACCTGGGAGCAGTCCCTATGCCATCCAGTGGCTAAGCCAACCAACAGAGAATGTTATACTTAATTTAGAGGGAAAACTTCTTAATCAGGGATTTTTATCAGGAAACTGATGTGGGCTGATTAACAACCTGCTGTGTTCAATATGCAATCTGGCTGGAGCTAGTATTTTTTGACTTTTTCTTTTTTTATTTTTAATATTAAAGTATACAAAAAGTAATGAAGTGGTCCAACTTAACCATGTTCTATTCCCAGGACTGAGCAGTAATGGAATTCTTAGTTTTAGATGTATTCCTGATTTTTCTTTTTAGGAATAGAAATGTAATCTGGAAGAGTATTAATAAAACATAAGTGTCTCCATTTGTGTTATTTTCAGTTTGTTTTTGATGGCTGCCATAATTCCTGCCACAAAGGTTTGCATAGTGATTATGTACTTTAGGTGAGGAAAGTTTACAAAATTTATTTTGGTTACTGATAAAATACTTGCTTATCTCTGCTCTCCAATGGTGATTTGGATTCTGAGCCTGTATAACCCATTACTTTGTAGCAGTTTTGGAAGACAGAAGACATGATTTCTAATATTATGAAGCTGAAGTACCATGGAGCATTACAGATATGACCCCATTCCAGTTGTAGAGCAGAAACAGAGCAGCCCCTAATCCTTCTCTTAGGTTTCTGTTTCCAGAAAACCCCTTAATGCCAGATTTCTCAAACTCTTTAAGACCATAGCAGTGCAATGCCAGGGATGCACAGTGGTATGAACACAGGCTCCAGGTCTGCGTGTTCATGTCTTGGCCCAAACGAACTCTATGGTTTGGTGGTTTGGGGTTTTTTGGGGGTTGTTTTAAGGGGTTTTGTTTGGGTTTTTTTTTGTTTTCTTTTGAACCAAACTTTGTAGCCAAAACCTGTAGCCTCTTCTTTCCCACAGTCTGAGGGCCCACACTGTCCATGATGAGTTTTAGCTCCTGTAGGGAGTGCATTTGTAGCAGAGGTCATGTTAAAACGGCAGGAACAGGGAAGAGCCTAAACTTTTACTGTTCATGGGACAATTGCTCGTGCTAATCAGAAGTGGTGCTGCTGGACGTTCATACAGATCCATCCCAGGCAGGGTAACTGTGGTGCCGCCTGATTTTTCTTTTTAGGAGTAGAAATGTAATTGGGAAAAGACACAGAAATTTTTTTCTCAAAATCCAAAAAGCCAACCCAGTTTGCCATGCTCTAATTGTAGAAGCTTCTAAAACTTTGTGTGTGCTGCTTAATGCTATTTTTTATATGAAAAGTTAGGATCATAGGATCAGCAGAAGAATGAAGCTCTGCAAGAGGCTGCCTGTAGAGGTGAGCGTTAAGATGCAGAGCAATTCTGCAACTTCCCCATCTATATTTTACATCTACAAACTTACACAGATGCCAAGTACTGCTTTTGCTCAGTCATAGCAATGCATGTGGCTGCTCTCAAAGACGAGGTAGACCGGTTAGTTTGAATAGTGCTGTTGAAGCAGCTTTTTTTTTTTAAAGCACAAACATTGACTTGTAAGTCTAGCATAAAATTAGACAGCTTGTGAAATTTTAGTAAAAGCTTTGAAAGGTGCTTTAGTAGTTGCTACTACTTAGTGATCTAATGTTGACTGCCTGTTGGAATTTTTCACAGTTGAAAGAATCAAGTTGGGATGTAAGGAAAGACTGTTGAAGGTGATGGAGGGATCCGGTGACATATTCTTAGCAGTTCTATGTGTGCTGTGCAGTTTCCAGCACAGACTTGGTCTTGTCCCTCCACAGTGTGTCAAAGAACTTCCACACTGGCCAGCTCTCACCTGTTGGCTGGTTCAGGGGCTGGGATTTTAGCAGTTTTTATCAGACTTCTTGTCATTTTAGCACATTGCCAGTAGAGAGGGGTGTGCTGCTGTTCTGTCTCAAAATACCTGGATACTTGAGAAATAAGCAATATAGAGTGTATGGACATTTATATATAAGGTAACCAGCTGAAACCTTGATTACCACAATCCTGTGCGCTTCCTTGTTCTTTTGTAGCTGGAGAATGTGAAATGCAATGAGAGCTCAAGTGTTGAAGGGAAGGCTATGCAAACCATTGTGTCTGCAAATGGGAGATGGGCAACTGTCCACCACAGGTTGCCATCCGTCCTGCAGCTCTCCCTGCTGGGGTGAGTGAGATGCAGCCGCTTTCAGCTGCTGCCAAAAGAACCTCGAAAGCAGCATCTAAAGCAGGAATTTACAGCTCTGACTGCACATTGCACAAAGCAGAGGTTTGCAAGTGCATGCTGCGAGCAATTCCTCACTTCCAGGCAATGAAAGTAAAATGGAGATGATGGTCAATTCTACTGGGATGGAAAATTCTCACATCAACTGAAATGCTTGTGATTGTTATTTTCAAAGGTGCCCATTTCCAATCCTTGGGTAAAGCCTGTCATTACTCTGTATATGGCAAAGTGCAATAAGCCAAGACTGAAGTAAACTCATCTTCCATCCTGCCAGGACCAAGTTTTTTAAAGGAAACCTGTTCAACTAAAGTACAGGACCAGGTCACGAGCAAGCCTGATCTTCCTACGATGGAGCAAGCAGGTGTGTGTGTGCTGGGCTGGTGCATGGGCTTGCTGTTTTGAGATCTGTGAGTCAGACACCAAGTCTGAAAACCTGGAAGTGAGAGAGGGGCTGTGTTCCCCGAGCACTGCAGGAGGCAGCCTGCTGGCATGCAGGCTGTCCCTCACCTCAGCTGCCCCTCCAGCTCAGGCTGGAATGCTGCCACCAGATTCACGTGAGTGGTTTTGTTTCTAGAAAGAGGTTGGTAGCTCAGTGTACTTCCATGTTTGCCCCAGATACTGTGTATTTAAAAAACAAAATCAGATCTTGAACCAGGAGGAGCAGACTGTTCCATCCTAATATAATCCGAGTTATCCTTTATTTCCAGAGCCATGGAAATAATGATGTAATGGCACTTGCTGTACTGACGTGGCATTTTTCCAGAGATGGCCTTATATGGCCCCTGAAGTCAGCACTCTTGGCATGTTCCAGCTACAGGCTTCTGCTAATGGAGATGCAGGGTGCATTTCCGTAGCATTTCCCACTGATGTGGGCATGGATGATAGCTGTGCTTTTCTTTGGCATTACTTCCATTTACTTCCAAGGGAGAATGCATTTGCCAAGGGTCTGATAGTGATAGAACTGTGTGCCACAAAGAATGCTCATAAGGCCCTTGCTATTTTATGTTGAAATCTGGAATTTATATCACTAATGTCAGAAGTGCAACTAACCTTTGGATTGCTAATCTTTACAATTACTTAACAGCTTCATTTTCATATAAACATGGGGTTTGTTTTCAAGCTTGCATGACAGCAAAATGCCATTTAACAGTATTGCTTCAGGTGTGGCAGCAGTTGTAATTACCATTCTTCTTCATGATAAGTTTATGGAAAAATATAATGCTATTTCCAAAGTTCAATTCTAAGAAAACTGACAGTCTTGCTTGCTACATGCTTTCAGTCTTATTGCTGATGGGTGGTGACAGTTCTTAATTACAGCTACAGTACTTCAACAGCTGATTTTGTTTCACTCCTGGGCCACAGGGGCTTCATGGTATACAGAAGTAATATACAACTTGCACAAGTATTAAATTCTCAAAGGCAAAAGATCAGTATCCTCCTCTGGGCATCTGGTGTGATAGTACAGGAAAAAAAAGTACTGTAGACTGTAAAAATGGCTAAGCATATTTATCATTTTCTCCAGGCATTCAGTTTCAATTACACAATTTTCTTCCCACCCTCCTTTCCCTGAACATTTAATTCATTTGGAATTATTAATGTTTATACTTTGATCAGTGAAAAGAGGGTTAGACTACCCTGACAGATTACATATTATCACACAGCTCTTCCAGGCAGGAGCTATGTGCTCTCAGCAAGTCTCTGCTTCCTAGCTCAGTGGCACAGACAATATTTCAGGCCACCTCTACTCCTTTAAAAATATTTTTCTTTGACATTTCATAAGCAGAAGAAATACCCGGGGAGGGGAGTGGCACCAATTTAAAGAGAGGGGTGTTTTGCCCATGACAGAAAGTGAGGGAAGGGCTCTGCCCATCCAAACCCTTTGGCAAGAACAGGGATGGTAGACATGAAGGTATGAAAACAGTGTCAAGTCATGCACACTCAATCAAGTGCTGTGTGAGTAAATTCCAAGGCAGTAATGTAAATACACAAATCAGAGGTCTCTAGCCTTTAGAGTGGGGCATCAGTTTATAAAGAGATACAGAGAGAAGACAAGGAAAAAATACAGTATGCATTTTTACTGAAATCTCACAAGTCATTTGTCTGGGTAGGGAAGAGAAGAGAAAAGTGACATCAAGCAACTTTTCACAAGTCAGTTCTGTGGGTGGGGGAGAGAGAGTGCCTTTGGTACAGTCGTGGGAAGGGTAAGAGCGCTTCACTGTGAAACTTGGATAAAACTGACATCAAGCAACTCAGAAAAAATCTTCTAGAACCTTAGAAGCTACAGAAAACAAAATTTTAAACGAGTTACATTTATTCAGTTAAAAAATTGACAGTTAGTAATGGTCACATGAACACCAGGGAACTGTATCTACATTTCCTGACGTCAATATGAACGGCACTAGGGGTTTTGTTTGTTTTCTTTTACGTATATAAATCTAATGCCAGTTAAAAAAATACAAAACAAAACTGAAACCCAAGACACTGTGAAATCAACACTGCTTAAAAACTCAAAATTCAATCTGATATATTTGAAAATAAATATTTTTACCTTTCTTGTTAGAAAAAGACAACTCACCAACTGCTTTCAAAGCAGTTACATCTTTAAGACCATTCCCAAGTGTTTCATAAATAATTACCCATTGATTGATTGTCTATTAATGCAGCATCTCTCAGACATAGCTGGGGTCTCTGTTATTAGGCCATAAAGTATTTTTTCAGACACAGTGTTTTGTTCCCCCCCCTTCCTTTTTATTTAGGTATACTTTCTTTTAATATAGCATATCATGCTGGCAAAATTCATGCAGATGGCATAGCATGAAGTATCGCAGAGTTTAAAATCACCTGTTTAAAACAGACAAAAAAAGAAAAAGACAAGGAATGTAGTGTTAAAAATCATGGTAGTGAAAAAGCAACTACCCAGTCTCATGGACGACCAAGACAATTTCAAATGTTCTCTCACAGTTGTCTCATCTACTATGATTTGTTTAAATATGTTTTAAAATCCAAATTAATTTTATTCTCTTCAATTTTTTCCACCAGGGATAAGTAAAAAAATAAAAGGTTAATTATTAAAACTAGTCTCTTTTCCCTTTTAATCAAAATAACCATTTTCCAGCCCTCTGACTGTACATCTAATTTTAATAGTTATTTCAAATAGAGAAGCTTATGAATCTGACACATCTGACATCTCCTGATGCCTTGACATTTAAAACACTCATAACAATACCTGGGTTAAATCTCTGAAAATATAAATGATTCTTGAATCGACTTTAACATTTGAAAAAGGCCACATCTTTAAACCCTCAGAACATTTTCACAGAATTTATAATCCTAAGGGACACTTAGAATTTTTGAGCAGGCAAATGAGCCTCCAGATGATTCTCTCTCATAGGCAACTGTGCAACTTAAAAAGCCTCCTTCCAAGGAAGCCATCATCACTAATCTCTTCCCCTGGCCATATATAAAACACAAAGGCCACCAGTTTTAGAAGCCTTTTTAATCCTGCACTTTAAACCTCAAAGGATCACCATAATAAAGAAACATTTTCCAGAAATGTCTCTCCTGACAGTTTTGTGTTATTCCTCCATGTGCCCCCTTTTTAACAGTTTCACTGACTAAAGAAATAAACTGTTTTTCAAATAGTCTTTTCAGTAAAGTGCTTGTTATTACTAAAAAAAAAAAACAAAAAAACAAAAAAACAAAACGAGAAAGTGCTATTTAAGATAATTTCTTTTTCCTGTGAAAAAACTGCCTGATAAATCTTTATTCATTTTTACATAAAGCTGAAATGAAACCTATTTCTTGTAAGGATGCTGGGTTACTAATTTTGGTGTTTGGCAGTAGGCAAGAAGCCCACAGAAGGTGGTGACACACTGGAACCGTAGTGCAGAAGGTAAACCTTCTAGATGAAGTGGAAGGCATATGGAGAGCTCCTACTAGAATCCTTTCATATTTATATACAAATATAATATATATTAAATATAATATAAAAATAGCTATATTCTTTTTTCTCTCTGAAGTTATCCCAGACACTTTTCTTCAAAGCCTCACCCATTGCAGACAATGTCTGCCTCCTAACCACTGTGCAAATGCCGTCCTTTTCACTCCATTAGGAATCACCAGCCCATTTCTTCACAAATACGATCCTCCCCTTAACAGACTCCTTCCCTTCTGTCAGAGTCGTTCTGCAACATTTCTGCTCCAGAACCTGCAGCATCGTAGCAGTCACTGTCGTGCTATTTATCAGGATGTTGCAAGTAAGTCTGTAGTAAATGAGTTGGGCAAAAGTAAAAGGCTGATTAAGAAAGAGGCAAGAGCCTGGTCCTCTTCTCACTAAAACTCAAGGACAGTTCAGCAATTGATTCAGCAACAGAGGAAGCTGCAGACCTGTTAAATATACACTTTTTAGTCACTACTTGTGAACAAAGCATCTCCATACTTGCACACAATCCGGACCAAGTTCTACACATTTGCCTTTGTTAAAAGTTTCCCTGATTCAAGTCAGGAATTCTTCAAATGTGTGCTGTATTTTTCCAGTTCCTTAGAATTTCCCCATCTTCTATGCTTTCTCTACTAGCTGGTAGCTCTGTAATTGAATGACCTCTCTCTGAGGCTACAAAAAGCTTCTTGATCAAAGCCTACGTTTCTATATTCTCTTTCAGCAGCCACACTATCCCATCATCTAATTTCTCTCTCCTTGTTTAGCCTTTTTACTGACAGACCTATAGCAGCACACCAGAATATTTGGGGAGGGGAGAATGGGAAGAGAAGTTGAAATGAAGCTTCATATAAAAAGCTGCATCATTAATGTCTGGCTGGTATCTCTAATTTCTGTAACTCTCTGTAACTCTACAGTTTAATATACTTATTTTGCCACTATTCAGTAGTTCTAACAGCACTATTAAAGCTCTCCCAGTTTTCTTTATTAGTGCTATATTTTTATTGTAATTGGTTAAAGAAATTTTTTATCTAACCTATTGTCCATTAGGCAAAGAAGTGATAGCACAGACCTCTAGTCAATGCAGCTTCATATAGAAACAGGTGGAATGGAGTGGTAGGGATAGCAGAGCAAGGCAGGATTTCTTTACATAGAACTTTACAGAAACAGGTCTCTGACAATTAGCCCAGTCTGAAGAATGCCAGAAATCCCTTTAAAGAAGGGAAAGTGTTTCTTGCTATGTTTGGTATTGGCATCTGTTCCTTGCTCCAGGTTGCAATAGGCTTCTTGGAGCAGAGAGCAATCGGATTCTCTTTGGTACTGTGTTTCTCATACTCTCCTTCCTTGTTCACTGCTTGGCTTTTTGGTGCCAAACATTTGCTTTATGACTGGGAAATAACAAAGGTCTAATGCTGGGACACGTGCAGAGGCAAAGGCTTGCCCCAAAACGTAACCAACGGCATCAAAGGCTTGGCTAAACTGGTTTTATCTCCTGCGGGTTTGGTTCATCCAGTAATACAATCAAACTGTTCCATAGTACAAAATAGACCATCACCATTTGGTTACATTCATTCAACTCCTCCTTAGTATTCAAGATTAATCCAGCTTTCTTTCCCTAGCACTAGTTTTAACTGCTTTACTGGGTTTTTTTTCCTTGTTTTTGTTTTTAATTAATTTTCAAATCTACCAGCATTTATTAGTTTTCCTCTGAAGTTCTGGTTTCCACAAACTAGTACCATAAAAAACCTACCAACTTTTACTTAAATAGCACATATCTGTTGGAACTTTTTATTTTCTTTATAAAGTGAAGTTGCCTTCTGAAGTCTTAGTTCAGTGATAGCTCTTAAATCAATACCTGGTAGTGTTAAATGCAATCATGATCTCCCCCAAAACACACTTCGAATGCTTCCAAAAATTATTTTTAAAAAATCAGCTTATTATTCTTCCTTCTGCAAAAGGAATCCTGTCTTTTAAGGTTTGCTTTTTTTTTTTTTTTTTTTTTTAAGAGTATTACCTTAAAGATCTGAGATTTCTGAGACTCTTGTATTTCTGGATACTGTCTGAGGGGGAGGACCATTCAAAAATATTCATGGTCTCAATTCAGACCACTGTTAAAATTAACACAATACAGAAATATCTATGAAGTAGATACACAAGTTTGGTTGACAATGTGCTAAGACTTCAAAATTGAAAATGGTTACAGATTCAAGACATTGTAATTCAAGATGTTCAACATTATCACCTGAATTAAAATCAAGGCACTATGGGTTTTGTTGTTGTTGTTAAAATGACCCTGAATTAGTTCTGACTAATTTTTGAAGGAGAATAAAAAGATTCCAACATGGTTTAACAAGTTACAATTCTCACCACAGAGAAAGTGGTTAAAAAGTGCCCAAAAGGTTATTAAATGTAAATATATTTTTGTGCAAATTACTCCTATAACTGAAACATTCTTGAAAATTACTGTCATTTTTTTTAAACCTTTTACATAAATATTTCCAACTATGAACTATATCAAAAGATAGCTTTGGGGAATAAAATTCCAAACCATCCGCAAGAAAGCAGTGCAAATTCCTATTTTTCAAATAAAATGATGAATTAATTATGAAATGATGAATGATATTTATGAATCTGAATGTCCTGAACCCTGATGCATGATCACCAGTTCAAACAGCTTCATCAATAATTTAACTTCAAGCAGTCAACTAACCAACACACTATACCTCACCAAACAAACCCTGACATCACGGACAAAGCACAAACAAGAGACTTGTGCCCACATTAAGGGTGAAAATAATGATGCATCATGTTGTAAACAAAAGGGTAGAACAGAGGAAAACATTAGTCTGAGTATGGCGTGAGAATTTAGGGAAACATATTCAAACCTACAAATAACAGATTACATTTTCATGCATCATATAAAATATTTTGCTCTTTCTCCTTTTATGCAGACATATACACAATATTTTACAGCATCTGTACAACAGAGAACTGGATTTCACACAACATTTTCAAAATATTTACTGTCCTGTAATCATCTGAAAAAAAATTAGATGGTTTTTGGACTATATTTCTGGCATTTTTTCCTGCTAATTCAAAACAATTGCTCCATGTCCATTTTAATACTTTAAAAATGTACAAGATTGATAAAAATACCAATATTTTCACCATCACTCTCATTTCAGTCACATTTGGAGATTTCACCTGGACAAATTACAACATGGCAGCAAATCCTTTAAAACACAGAAACTGGGGCAACTCTCAAAGTTGGCCATGTCCCCATCATCATCTTGTGGCTTTTAACAAATTCCAGAAGTTAGAAGCAGATCTCAACACCATGGTGCTAGAAAACCTTCATACTGTTACCTCTGTAGCTTCAGTGCAAGTGTTTGTGGGGCAGCCCCTGCTGGCAGTTTGTTTCAAAAAGAGGCAGCGCCCACACTACTGTGGCTGAACTTTGGAAGGATCCGTCATCTTGTCCGTTCTGTGTCGTGACAGCTGCTGCTGCTGCTGAGACTGATGCTGCTGGTGGTGGGACTGAGCAAAAGTGCTTTGTTGTAGTGGGAAAGCAGCAGAGAGAATAAGCTGAGCTGACTGATTTCCATGAAGTAATCTGGATGTCTAGAACATGAAAACAGAAAAAAACATTTTTCCCACTGCACTGAGAAACATGGGCCTAGCTGCTTTTTAACTTTTCATAAGGGTTCAATCAAAATAAACTTCGGATTTGGCCAGTTAAGCTGAGCAAAGAATGTAAAGATTTGTTCATACTAACACATTTAAGCAGTGCATCTGATCAATTAATAAAGCAGCTGCAATTGGTCTTTTTAATTCCTGTGGCAATAGGTAGGAACACATGGCAGTTTCCTTTCATTTCAAACCACTAAAACATAGCAGGGCATAAGAAATCTATTTGAGTAAGCGTAGGTAGCTGTCATTGCAGTCAAATGAAAAAATAGTGCATGATTTGGCACAGATCACATTTATTCTCCACAGACAAAATGCACAGTCAAAGAAAATGGTGCATTTCAGACCCAAACATCCCTTTTGAAGGAGATTTATTACTATTGGAAATGGCACATAGCTTTAATGGAATTTGTCTTAAAACAAAAAAAAATCACTGAAGAAAAACAATGAAGGATGGGTACAAATGCACTGACTTCTCAATGCTGAAATGTTCTGCAGCAGAAAGTAAAGTACATCAACTGCTCCACCTACAGAATCAGACTATAAGATGCCCCAGTAAACAGAAGCAGAAAAACCACTTTTGTCCTTTTTAAAGAGCATTTGCTTCACTTCAAATTCTAGCACTTTAATAGTTTATGTTAAAAATACTAGACTTTTGCCTAGAATTGAATTCTAGAGTAGGAATAGACCTTTTGAGATCTTCATATTTCACGTCTGCTTCACCAGAATTAAGTCAAAATTGTATAAACTTTTAAATTTAGAAACAGACATACAGACACTACCAAACTACTAAACAGCTTCTCTAATATTCTAGCCACTACTACATCTCCTTCACCAACTCCAGAAGCTGGGTGACCCATGGTGCCAGTAATTAATTGGAATTAACAAATGGCAACAGATTTCCCCATCAGTTCCTTTTATCTTCTGTTTCTTTTAGAGATTTCTATTTCTAAATTCCTTCTCAAAGGTTTTGTCTTCCTTCTCTTTTGACCCAATCTCTCTTCTATCTCCACTAGAACAAGGTTCTTTCCTACTCTCTGCTTACAAAGTTACTTGCTGATCAGCCTCCCCTATAGCCTAGACAGAATTTCATGCCTTGAAATGAATGCCTCCCATGTTACTGGGACATGTCTTGCTTTGGGCTGTATGCTGCTTTCCAGACCAACCATCATCTCTCATACCTTAGTGCATTAACATGTAAAGTTAATGAAAGAAAATGTAAACTGTTTTAAAAGAAAAATCTGTTTTTTCATCCCACAGTCAATTAAGAGCAGCAATTCAAAGGGAAAAAATGTAAGATAGGACAATGCATAGAGTAACACTGCAGGAAAGGCCACTTCTCCTTTAAGTAACAGGATTTTAGAGAACAGCTACAGAATAAACTTACCTCATGCACTGGGCTTATTCACAGGTTATTATTTTAAATGCATTGTTTTCAGGTAAAGCACCCGTGGATAATCTAGCAATGCTGAAAGTGCTAGGACTCAGAAAAAACTGTAGACAGCTCTACATTCATTACCTGTAGGAACTGCTGGGGGTGCTGGCCCAGCTGTGACTGAGCTGGTTGTTGCACTGTGGTGAGCTGCTGCTGATGGTCCTGCTGACTTTGCTGCTGCTGCTGCTGCTGCTGTTGTTGTTGTGTTATTGACAAAGTCTGTGTCTGCTGCTGTTGGGCAGCAAAAGTGGGATAAGCTGTCACCACCTGTCCCATAAACATAGTACTTGGTACCATTACTGCTCCACATGCCACTGGGGCCGTGACAAGTTTTGTTACAAGCTGCTGACCTTGAGAAAATCTGTTAATAGAAAAAGACATTTGAAGTCCCTTCAGGAAAACAAATATATGAAGCATCACATACACTTGAGAAAGGCAGATTTCTCAAAGTCATATTTTGCTATTATAACATGGGTTTTGATAAGCCTGCAAACATGTTACTTTGTGCAGTTTAGTTTCAAGGGTTGTAGCCATACAGTTGAAACACAAACCACACCATCTTTTAAATGCGAATTTAGTTCCTTTTGGATATGCATAAGCATACCATTATAAAAAGTCATCTTAAATACAGGTCTTGAAGGTTTACCTGATTTGCCTGTCCTGTGTAAAAGTGGTTACTGCAGCAGCATTCTGGTTGTTGTTCTGTGGTAAGCTAGAGGGAACCTGTACCACATTTCCTGCAGTTGGCTGAGAAATCACCATAGTGTTGTACAAAGGTGCTGAGACTGCGTTCTGTGACTGACTGGCAAGAGAAGACTGTTGATTATGTCCACTTAGTACATTTTGTTGATTATGCTGAAAAGAAATTTTGAGATAGTAAGTTGAAAATAGCCAGATACTACAGCTGTTCTCCTCACTGTCACTACCCACACTTCAAAACTACCAGTGTTTCTTTTCTATTCAAACGAATTCTTAATTCAAAGTACACAGGTATTTCTACTGACTGAGGATTTATAGGTAGGACTGGACCTTGGACATCTGAGTCTCTTACATTAACTTCTTTTTCCATTCAGTTTATTTTTTTCCCTGAATTTTTCAGATACTTGCATATTGTTTGTTCAAAATTATCTTTTTACTCCTTTAGCATCTCTGTGCCCAACTTAAGACTAAAACGTGCACATGTCAAGAATTTCTTACTTTAAAGTTTGGAACTAGCCTACTGCTGAGATGGTAAAATGCATCACTAGTCTGCCTCTTTGCAAATCTCAAAAAGAAAGTACGGAATGTGGAAAAGGGTACAGAGAAGGATGACCACAGAGATCAGATGTATATAGTCTCCATACACAAAATGGTCAAACCCATAGAAGTGTTGAGCATGAAGAACCAGCTTCTGTGGGGATACATGCTGTTGAGTGTTATTCCTCTGCTAAATTGTTAAGTTTAAGGTGTAAGTTAAGAGCTGTTTCTTTGTTACATTATAAGGTTTAATGTATAAGTTAAGCTTGAGTGCTGTTAAACTTTTAGGCCATATTCCTTTTTATGTTTGTCCTTGCTGTCCTTTTGTCACGTGCACCGAAACACAGACACTCCCCTAGATAGTTCTCAGTTCATTTCTGTTTTGATTGCCTTTTGATTTTGTTTGGTTTTGTTGTTGCTTATTTTTTTCTTGTTGTGCCTCCTGTTGTGTTCTGTAAGTAGTAGAGTGAATCTTGCCAACAAACTTTGTTGTGCTGCCACTTAATATTAAATCAGGCTTTTGCTGATACCCTTGCCAATGATTTCTTAAGCAATCTCAAACACTTGCTCATAACAGGGGAATGTCAGAGAAGCTGTTGTGTTTCAGCTGTGGTTTTGAGCAAATATTCTGTCCAGCAAAATCAGCAATAGAATTTTACCTGTGTTGCAGTACTCTGCAAAGGCTGCTGCTGTATCATGTGTGGAGTACTTATGTGGCCTGTATTCATCCCACTTTGAGTCTGATTAGTCTGAACAACTTGACCTTGCATGTTTACTGGCGTAAGCTGCTGAACACTTGAAGAATTTCCAGAAGGAAGCTGCACAGAACCAAAGTTGAGTCCAGAAGCTGACTGCTGCAAGAACATCTTAAAAAATTCCACAAGTTATAGGGTCAGTATTCAGAGACTCAACTCTAACTGGTAAGAATCAGAATTTTGATTTCTAGATTTCTAAACATTAACATTCAATAACTGTTCTTAAAGAAACATCACCATTTAGAGATTAATCAGTAATGCAGTCTATAACTATCTAAAGACAAAGCATATTTGAGATGACACTTCTATTTGCAGGACCTTCCACAGTAACACTAAATCAGACGAAGAAAATCTCTGAATTAGTAGATCTAGGCATAGCATCAAGAATGTAATCTTCCCTGACAATCAGGAAATCATAATGATAACACTGCATTTTCCAACGTAATAAACAGAACTCAGCACAAAATTACTAGGTTCTTTAGGAAAAGTTAGGCCCAAGCCTAAAACAAGGCAGAATTGTGCAGCACTGAATTATTTTCTCTAGTTTTCACATTTTTGAACAAGGTCCCTCCACATTGCATGGGAAGAAGAGCTGTGAATCTCTCCTTCTGAGACATGGGTAAGGCAGTCTACTGCTGGCGTGTTTACACTAGACATTACACAACACTGAAAATGGCACACGCCAGAAACTCCTACTCTTCCAACAGAATTTAAGCAACATACTCAATACTTCCAGGAAGTATTTTTCTACTCTTTAGTCAAAATCCAGAGAATCCAATAACTCCTTCAAGCTTATCATGCAAAGTACAGCCATTCAGCCCGATAGGACAGTTTAAGAAACAAAGAAACATGATTTAACATCCTCAGAGCTAAAAATGAAAAACAGATGCTCATCTTGCAGATTTTGGATTAAAATTCTAATGGCTGAAAGACTTGGCAAGAATTAACAACCACTCCATCCTTTTACATTTAATTAGGTTAAGTCGTAAATTAGGCTTGACCTGCTCAACACTGGGGCATTTCCAAATACATTCAGAAGCAAAACATCAGGTACCTCTGGAACAGCAGCTTCAGATACTAAGGATTTTAGACATATTAGGCCCAGATGGCAGCTGACAGGGAATATGGAGGATCATGTTCTGGAATTAGGTGCCCAAGACACATTTCAGATGCCTAAATTCTCTACAGATGAAACCTATGATACACTAACTCACCTGGAGTCCTTGACCATGAACAATTTGAAGCTGCTCTTGAATCTTACGCAACTCTTCCTGCTGCCGATGAATATTTGCCTCTATCATGCGTGTTCTTTGCTCTAGCTGGTCCTTTAGATGTTGCATAGCTCCTAATTGAGCTGAAAACTGAAACACAGGCTGTAGTGCAATGAATAAATTAAAAGCTGAGCAAAAATGACATTTTATTTACAAGAGATAAGTACAGTCCTCCATAGAAGCAAAGAAATCAAGCACTGCTCTTTAAATTACTAATAAACCATAATCTGAGGACCAATTAACGAGTATGAAAACATCAGAGAATCAACATTTAATTGAGGCATGATGGTGAACTAAAAAAACCCACAGCACAAGAAATTGACTGGTGTCCAAATCACACACACATATATATGTGTGTGTAGCGTTAGTAATTTACACGGTACTGTAGATGCTAAAGCTCTCTCATATTAAAAATTAGAGTTGTACCAGTTTAGAAAAAAAGATTCACCCAGAGCTAAAACATACAAGTAACTTGGGAATGCCCTCAGTCACAAAAAGCTAAAGCCTGAGCCCTAAGAAAAACTATTTACCACTTCTGTTCTTCCTCAGACATTTGCTACAGGACCCAAGTCAGTATGACCTTTTGATACTTATATCCTGCTCTTATTACACAGAAGCATTTCACAGACCAAGAAGCCTTGTGTTATAAGCATATGACTGAAAGCTACCAGCAGAGTTGATGTATTTTTAAATTCATGCCCTAAAATATCTTAGCTTTAACGATTTTTATATCTGTGTTGCTAATGCACAAGGCTGAAAACTATATCCACACAAATAACAGGGAAAAAAATAAAGGAAAAGTTTCAATTTACAGAACTTGCTCATTTCAAGAGTATAATTTGACACCAAAGGACTCAATTTCTAAAAGAGAAATTAACCTTATATTCAGAATATAGAAGGAGAGTATTGTTTAAGATGGAAAAGACCTTTAAAATCATCAAGGATAACCACTAACCCAACACTGCCAAGTCCAACACTAAACCATGTCCCTAAATGCCACATCTACATGGCTTTTAAATACCCTCGGGGATGGTGACTCCACCAACCCCCCCGGTCAGCCTGTGTCCAAATGTTTCCTAATATACGATCTAAACCTTCCCTGGTGCAACTCAAGGCCATTTCCTCTCACTCTGTCCCTGTTACCAGAGAGAAGAGACTGACACTCCTCGCTACAACCTCCTTTCAGGGGGCTCCCCTGAGCCTTTTCTCCAGGCTAAACGACCCCAGCTCCCTCAACCACTCCTTGTCTGATTCATGTTCCTGACCCTTCACCAGTTCCATTGCCCTTCTCTGGACTTGCTCCAGCACCTCAACGTCTTTCTTGCAGTGTGGGGTTTAAAACTGAACACAGCACTCGAGACATGGCCTCACCAGTGCTGAATGCAGGGGGACAATCACTGCCCTGGTCCTGCTGGCCACACAATTGCTGATACAGGCCAGGATGCCTTCTTGGGACACCTGGGCACACACTGGCTCGTGTTCAGCTGCTGCTGACCAGCACCCCAAGGTCCTTTTTTTGCTGGGCAGCTTTCCAGCCACTCTTCTTCCAGCCTAAAGTGCTGCAGGGGGTTGTTGTGACCCAAGTTCAGGACCTGACACTTGGCCTTGTCAAACCTCAGCCCATCAATCCAGCCTGTCCAGATCCCTCTGCAGAGCCTTCCTGCCTTCCAGCAGATCAACACTCTCACCCAACTGGGTGTCATCTACAAACTCACTGATGGTGACATCAATCCCTTTGTCATCAGTATCATCAATATATCATCAATAAATATATTAAACAGGACTGGCCCCAGTACTGAGCCCTGTGGAATCCCACTACTGACTGGTTGCCAGCTGGATGTAACTCCATTCACCACCACTCTCTGGGCCTAGCCATCCAAACTGTTTTTCGTTCAGTGAACAGTGCATCCACCCAAGCCACAGGTAGCCCATTACTCCAAGAGAATGCTATTGTCTAGGAGAACAAGACTGTTTAAAAAATAATAAACAATAAATTGAGTTAATCCATACCTGAGTCATTCCAGACTGGAGCTGTAAAGTTGCAGGTTGAGATATTGCTGGCTGTGTTACTGGTTGTCCAAGAGACTGTGAGCTTAAAGACTACGATTAAAAAAAATCGTTCCATAATCATAAGAGAATGAACTTCATACTTGACATGAAATATTTCTTTAAAGTGTCAAATCCAAAACAGCATCGCATGAACATATGATGAAACTAGTAAATTGTTTAATGAAATATCTAATCTTAATTATTAGAGAATTAAGAAAACAAGAACAATTGATTATCTACAAAATATATACATGATTTTTCCATTGCTAAAAATATATATATATAGGTAGTAGGTATAAAACAGGAATTACCACTATAAATATTTTAGAAGTCTTAATTAAATTAAGGGAAAGACTTTTTCAACAAGTTTGGAAGTTGACACCTTTGATTTAGTCTTAAACTAAGGATTTTTAGAAATACATACTTTAATAAGCATTCTGTTTATGAAGTGAACGCATTAGTTCATCAGGAAGTACATGAAGCATGATAATTTCTCAAACTACCAAGATTTTAGAAATAGAAGTATTCACTAATATTCTTAGTCATAAATTTGTATGAGTTCTTTATAGGGACACATACAGCATTACATTGGCAATTTTAGGTATATATAGATATATGTGTTTATTAAAAATCCAGAATCACAGAAGGAAGTTCTGTGTGAGTGAAAGCAGACATTCATTCACATTCTTGCAGATCTTAATGACAAAGGCTAAACATATATGCTTAATTATTTTATTCCTTCAAAATCTAGTATACCAAAGTTGCATACTGATGATGCAATTCTAAGAGACATATTCCAAGAGAAACTCTTACTGTTTAAATTGTGTTTCTAGAAGAAATAAAACAAAGCTTATATGAATTTAATAATAGCTTTTAAAGGCGAACTCCACTGTTTAAGTACAACATTTTTCTCTGCAGTTACCTGACTGCTCAGAGATGATCTTCTTTGTGCAGTCTTTTCATGACCTGATAAGCCTTGCCTTGGAGGAGTGCTAGTGTCCACTGTCATTTTAGTTGGTGTTGCTGGCACGGTTGAGAGTTAGAACAGAAAGAAACACGTTAGTTGTTATCTCAATTCTGTAATGCAATAATCTAATTACAGGAAGCTTTTAATTAATAAAAAAACTGTTAAGACTTGGACTTTTTTTTTTCCCCCCGACTATCCACCAATCTGACTGTGATAGAGTGCAATCTGATGGATTGAAATAGGGTGTACTACTGTCTGATATTGTACTCCTAGAAGTAAGTCTTTTTCAGAGTAGTCTGCAGATCTCTGAACCATCAAAAAGGGTATTTTCACTTGCACAGTTCTCATAAAATTACTAACTGCCACTTACGCATTTAATTAAATTAAGTAGAGAAAGCCTTCGTTAGGAAGGCAATTCTATTTTCAACAGTTGGTGCTTACATGAATGATCCGATACTGCAGTATGTGAAGATTTTCTTGAACTCCTGGAGGAAGCAGAAGGTGTGGGACTGGTATCAAACCTTTCCAGTGCTTCTTTGAGACTCACTGTGTTTATGTGATTGTCAGACCCAGAGTCCTGACTCTGAAGAGACACACATAAACAACAATTATTTATCTAATCCAGCACACAATGTATATTTGTTAGAAAATATCTCAGACCTTCTTGTTTCTAATCAACCCCCTTACACAGGTGACCATGCAGAAGTAGTGGCCTGTTTGATGGCTGTAAGCTGTTTCCATTTGAGGCTTTTATCTGTGGAAACCAAAGCTATATAAGCCTAGAAACCAAAATGCATGCAGTCTTAGGCCACAGACTGACGAACTGAGCTGCCCTCCCTTTGTAGCCACTCAATTCACTCTGAACAACAGTGTAATGAGTGAACTGCTTATTCTTTCAAGAAAGGATGAGATTGTTCCACTAGGAGCACTGACAGATTAAACTTGTGAAACTGCCAAAGGAAAGCATTTCTGAACTGTCAAACTAAAACATGACAGGTAATCTCCACAAGCTGGTAAAGACTCATTGAGCCTCCAAGGACATTAATTCAAAATTAATTTTGTAAACTTTTAAGAAGTGGGACAGAGTCACACAATTAAACAGCTCCTACTTTCCTATTGTTAATTCCTTCTTGGTGTATTGACCTTGGTTTTTCAGATTATGGGTACCTCCAGTAAGGGAGAGACCATTTATTTAGGAATCTAACACTGCAGAAATCAGGTATTAATAAAACTTATGGGTGCTACCATGTTATAACTACATGCACATTAACTCCTGAAAAAGAAGGGTGTTGTAGGCAGAGTACAGTTAAACACTCTTTCTAGACTTCTTTTATCATTTTCAATAGTCACATTATTTAGAAATCAAATAATTACTTTATTTGGGGACAAAACCACTTTTTGCTGCTGTATATTTGCTTGCTTATTATTTTTAGTATGTGAAGATGTAATATAAAATTATATAAAATACTCACTTTATCTGCTGTTATCTCTGGAAGAGATTCCTCAATACCAAGTTCTCGTCGTCTTTCTGCTCTAACTTCTGCATAACTAGAAGAACAAACCAAGGATGACTACTATATCTCAGGATGATTTAAAAAATAAACCACAAAGACCAAACTCCTCAAACCCATCGTGCTTACAAACTATCCCAGGAAGTTTTCCAGTGATTCTTCACACTGCTATAATTTCTCTACCTCCAAAATATCATCAAGATAGCTCCCATACCAGTAGGACTACTTTAAAAAGTAACTTACCTTACAACAGTGTGCGTACAGACAATAAACTCTGGCCTGGAATTCCACTGGTGATACGTGATATAGTAATGAGTTTGCAGCCAAATCCACTGTTGTCCCTTTGTAAGGAATCTGTAGTAACATGACTTCCCTTTCCCATATTGCATTACTGTAAAGATGAAGAATAAAGTTTACTGTCTTGCCAGGTTGTAAATACTACAATTACATAAAAAGAACATTATTTCCCAGGTTCATATAGCCCAAATGCACGTCTAAATCCAGTATTAAGACGATGACCAAGAACAGATTTGAAAATTTTCCAATTTTTGCACTTATTAAACATTATAAAGCCTTTTAAATGCCATTGGAAGAACTGGAAAAGTATTAGTCATAGAGCTGTGCACTTCAGTTTACCACAATGAAACTCCAGAATTGTAAGACAAAGTTATCTGTTTTGTAGTTTTGTATCAAGAGAAAAAAAGATAAGGAACAACAGTATAATTATGCAAACGAATGAGAGTAGACACTTCACTCAAAATATCACAAAATTTCACCAAAACAGTTGTATAATTTCACAAATTTGCTAGTTTTAGTGATTTAGTTATACTCACAATGCTCATGACATTTTGCCAAATTATCTAGATCATCCACATGATAATAATCATAGCCTGATGTTCCCAAAACTTCAAATGGAAGATAACCTATTATCGGAGGTGCCCTAATTAATAATAAAAAAAAAGTCATTTTATTTTCACACATATGAAAGAATCTCAAACAAACCAGAACTAATTATATAAGCTTTCTTGTTTACAGTATGTGCTCCCAAAAAAATTAAAAAATTAAACCCAACACAAGCTATGAGTAGTTAATGTAGATTAGTGAACTCCAAATACTACAGTCACCACTGTGATTCAGCTGCTATTGCTACTACACAGAAAGAACTGCACCTGTGATCCAAGAATAGGAACTTCCATTCTAAGCTGTGTCTAGATGTGAATTCTTCATTGGGTTCTTCAACAGTACACATTTCCTAAAAAGGAAAAAAATAAAAATCTCTTCAAACTGCTCTATTCTAGTATCTAAGCTCTGTCAAAATTCAGACCTACCTAAAGTTAGTAGGCAATTCAACAATAGTTATGTTATTTTTAGACAGTTTCATTGGTTTTGCTTGCTTAGACACACACTACTGAGGTAGAATCAAATCTCAACTGTGTCAAGCTGATGCTCAGTTGATTTAAATGGACTAACCGTGTCACGAGATTGAACTCAAACTCAGTATCTACAGACACAGTAGCACAAGCAGAAATCCACAGTTCCTGCAGTTATGCTTTTAAATTGTAACACGCAAAAGAAGAGGCGAAACAGTCCCACCACACAGTCTGATTATAGTCTGTGTTTATAATGGTAAAACCCAACATTAGTAAGATGGTCACTTGTTTAAATCTGAGTTTAGGAATCCAATTCTTCCCCTTATGAACACAGAGTATTCTAAACCTTTTTGACTGCATAGACATGCACTGGATATAACACACTCTTCTTATGTTTAGAACGGAAAGTAAGAGAATGGCTGTATTTCCATTACAACAAGACCTTAAGGTATTCTGCACATAATTCTAAATGTATTCCACTCAAATGTGTTCAAAGCATGTCAGTCAACTTCTACTGTCCCCTTGGAGCAAGGTAAAGACATCCCACTGAGTATTGTGCCTCATGCAGAGACAGCCACAACACCACTCACCCCAAGCCTGCCAATTCTTTTGCAAACTCTTCCAGTACTGCCTTACAGGAAGGAAGATGGATGATGAAATACATGCATATAAATACACCCCTCAGAGAATTACATTAAAATTAGAGATAAGTAAATCTTTCTTTTTTGAACACTTGCACACATTTGTCATTAGTAGGAGCTTGCAATGGTATTCCCAGTGCCAGGAATGCACTGGAATCTACTGATGATTAGGTACAAGAGTTTCCTAAAGACTGCAATGTAGAAGCTGCTGCTACACTGGCAGAACACTCGCAACAGATGTGGACAGATGAGCACACTGCTGCCCTGCAAACATCTGTAATTAAAGTAGTCCTGTAGAAAAATACTGTAGAAGACCAACAGAGGGAATGACCACCTTTCTTTTCATTCTTTCAGGTTATAATCCAAGGAGTTTAATTGGATACTTTACAGTTTTTAAAACAGATCTAAGTTTTCTTTCTATGAAAGGAAAAAGTGACCATACCTAGGCAATGTTTTTTGTTCACCTTCATCACTGCAAAAATCTAAAGACAATGACTTAGAAAATGATGGAATGATAGATGAATTAGATGGAAACAATGAATTAAATAACCCTGGGCACAAATTTATGACTCTTGATGTGAACTCCAGCCAGGAAGTCTTAAGCGTCAAACCCGAAACTACCCCTAGAACCCAAAGCTCATCCACTTTTCTAAAATTACAGCATTTAACAAAGCACCACTCAAGTAAGAGAAATGACAAAGCAAGAGTATATCCTTGAGATATACTTTTGATTTGTTGTTTCTTTTGATCTAATTATTTTGGCACAAGTCAAAAGTAAAAATCACTGAAGTGCAGGCAGTAAAATCACAGTAAAAACTTCATGGTTAGAGAGGAAATGGCAGTAGGTTAGTATCCAATTACTCAATGCATTTATACTAATGATTTGCAGATATTCCACTGTAAAGTACCCCTGGACAGAAGCCAGCTTGTTCAACAAGGCATCTTGTTGAAGTTGTCAACAAGGCATCTAGAAAAGAAAGGACTTTCATTTGCAACAAAAAGTATTCTGGTAGAATCCTTTCGGTTGGATTGATCCTGTCTTCTTGATAGGATGAAATCATCAACTAGCCAAAATGCAAGACAAATGTTTAAAAGAATGTGTACCAAATGTAATGTAATTACAGAATGTAAAACCAAATGCCTTCACTAGGGAGCAGTATTTGTGTCATGCTTTGTTGCAAAAGTGGTAGGGTCATATGCATAAAATAAAAACGTGAACTTTAAAGGTGCAAAAAGCATTGCATATCCTGAGAAATTACATTTGAGGACAAAAAAAAAAAAATCCAGAACCGTATACTAACTGAAAGAGTCTAAGTGACAGATGAGCAGGAAGATTCTACCTTAAATAAGGCAAGTACTAAAACACACATCTCCTTACTGGCTTCATCACACATGTGTTAGTGAAGTTACTGGGATGGTAAAATTCTTGACATACACTCATTTGCTGAAGTCTAGTCAATGATAATTGAGGGTATCACAATAATAATAGAGGGTATGTCAAGCATAAACATGTATTGCCAGATTAAGTCTTTAATGTAACTCTTCTTCAAAACACTTCCCAAATAAATAGCATCAGTCAAAAGTCTTGGGAGGATCTTAAAATTTTTGTAACATGGAAGCTTCTGTGGGCACTAAGGGCTCAGAAGTTCAGGTACAAGAGTGAGACCAGAGTTGGCCAAAGTATAATCTGTAAGGCTTTGGCCTGCAGGAGACTGAGACACTTGAAGATCATAAATGGATGTCTCTCAGCTTCCAGAAGTAAGAACCATAGAAGTTTTACTATGAACTGTCAGACTTTAAAAGACAAAAGCAATTGCAAATGTCAGGTTGGTCTTTTTTCCACAGTTATTTAATGAAGAAAAAATCCTACATATAACATCTCTACCAACTGTAGGCATAACAGGAAGAATAATTTTTAGACCTGCGTGGGAAGAAAAGTGTCAAATGAAAGCTTCAGAAAAAATAAACTTTCTCTAGCTTGGAGTCTAGAGACAAAATTCCTATTCAGCCTGAGAGAACTGAAGAAGGTTATATGATTTCTCCACAGACTCCCAACTATGCTTTTGAAGTGAAAAGTATATAAATCAAGTTCTTCAGATGCTACCATCAACAGTCTTCAGCTTAAGATATCAGTGCTTTAAAATTAAGAGGCAAAATGTTTGCATGTTCAGAGTTCTTGTACTACAGACAATAGCTTAACATCGGGCCACATGCATCTCATGGCATTATTTTACAGTTGAACTGCAAAAACAAATGTTAGACAACAGACTATCCTGAACCTTGATTCATGTATTTGGGTGAAATATATAATCGGAATCACAACCACAGACTACATTGTACTGTATCCTGAGTCTTTATTTTGACTGGTTTTAGAGAGAAACAGGATTATACTTTCTGAACTACAAGTATCATATATTCAGTTCTAAACTTGGAAAGGCACTTTCACATTGTACATTAGCAAATAAGCAAAATATTAGGTTTAAACACTGAGTTACTGAATAACTGCATTGAAACAAAAGATTTCTGTTACCTCAAACCCAACTCTTCATTACTGACAAGTAATGTAAACTTTCATTAAGCCCTCTGAGATTTACTTCTGTGTCAGATGGCAGAAAGATGATCAGCAACAAAAAATTCACATCCAAGTTTCAAATAAAATCAATCATTTCTCCAGTGAAAGTGGAATTCCAATGTAATCTTTCATACTGTTTAAGTTCATCTTGCAAAATTATATTCCTATGGACTTCTTCAAAATTTATTTCTTGCATATTTCTCCTTTATATTACTATTTAAAATTAGTTTTCACCATAAGTGTTTGATACTTTGCATAAAACTTAGGCTATTTGAAGTAAGAAATGCTTTCAGTTTAATATCACGGAACTCCTTATGGTTTTCATTAATATTTTGAATGTTGTATGCATTTTCTCTTAAGTTTTCCCATTCAGAGTCCATTTAAGAATGATATAAAAGTGATTTCCTTTGTACATACCTTGATAAATTGAGGTGTAGCTAATCTAACTGTGGCTACAAAGCAAACTTTCTCTTCATATGAAGGCCGGTGTGATCTCTGAATAGTTCCTTCAAAACCATTGTGCGCTGAGTTGGGAACTGAGGGCAGACAGACGAGATGACAACACAGATCACAATATAAGTATGGAGGAAAATTGCAGAAATATCAGAAGACAAATGGCCCAATATTTATCTGTTGTTTGCTTGTAACTTCACAGGTATTAACAAAAATATTACATATCTACATATATATGCACAGTACCACAGTAGTAGGAATAGTTATATAGCAGTTATGGGAGTGCGACCATCAAATAACTTTCCTAAAGAGCTAAAACTACAGTTAATATGTAGTTATATATGCTGACAAAGCATTTCAAAGAAACTAGTAACAGTTCCAATTCTTGCTAACTGGTAAAAATTACTGGATTACATTTTATTCAAAAGTATCCTTAACTTTTATCTTTTGTATCAGGTTTTGCTAACTTTTTCTTTTGAGCTCTGAGGTAAGTATTTCTTTTCTAGACTTCCATCACATTTAAGCAACACATGCTGAAGACATACTAAGTAACAGAAGAATCAAAGGCACAATTATGGAAGTGAAAGAATCAGGATACTGAGCTGAGAACAAATTCCACTTATTGAATCACAGAGATGGAATCAAAAGGAGGCAAAGTATGGACTAGACCTCAAAACAGATTAACCTTATCTTTCATTTCCAGCAGTCACCAAATTTAGTTTATATTTATCAAGGTCTAGAGATGGTGATTTCAAAACACTTTGAGGCTTTTTGAAGCCTGACTGGTTTTAATTCAGCTCTAGATTGGAACTCCTACTGAAGTTTCTTCATGAAATTTCTTCTTACAGCTCCTTGCTCTTTCCAACAGAAAGAAAATCAGCAGTTTCTTTCATTTTTATCTTAGCTCTTGTCCTTTGTTCTTCTATCTTGCCTTGTTAGATTTATAAAATACTCGTGCTTTTGTTGCTCTACTCTGAAGTCTCCAACTTCTTTACTTCTGACAAATAAGTATCAAAAACTTGATGAGGACATGTAAGTGCTACTAAGAAGTGCAGCAGGATTATTTCACGTGATTTAGACTATGTTTTAGAGAGGCTGTTGCATTTTCCCAGCTTGGTGGCTGGTCAATGTGATTTGGTCTTCTTCAGTTTACATTCCACAGTAACTCTTTTTCCTAAAGGACTGCTATGTAGCTGGCTGTAACCATCCCTGTTCATATAGTTTAATATTCCTAAATGTAGTAACTTGCATATTTTTCTTAGTCCATTTTTCTGTGTTTTTAGCCCAAAATAACTTCTTTTCTAAATCTGGGAATGAATTCTTCTCTTGTTTTTAGTGGATTATTTCATAATTGCAAACTATGTTCTGTTGTTAATGAAAATTAACATTAAATTAATGAAAACACTGATCAAATCCAGAAGTTGCCAATTAAAATTGCACATTGATGGTCAACACTGATAAGCTTTCCAATCAGTTTCTGCAGCTACTCTCCAGCAATTTCAATTAACATGTGCTTCCCCTACACATTTGTGAGAACAGAATATGATAACATAAACATCTTTTAAAAGTCCATAATTTATTTGTGCTTTATCCTCTTATCCACACAGTGTGTCACTTTTTGGTAGAGGAAGCTGAACTGATTTGATGCTATCTCTTCCTGAAAAATCCACAATAGTTGCCATTCAATTCCCTGCTAGCCTCTTGAAGCTCATATATAGTTTAAGTATTTGTTCCAGAGTATTTCCAAATACTGAATTGCAGCCAGTAGGTCTGCTGTTTCCCAACTCCTCTTTCCAAGACTAGCACAATATTTGACCTTTTCAGGACTGTTTCTTGTCTTTCCTATATTACATCACTGTATTTGCATTAAGACTCAACCTCTTCCCATTTTGTGAGAGCAATACTGGTATCAGATAAAAAACCCCACAGATTTATTTACAACATACTGGGTTTTTTATAATATTTTTGGGTGAGCTTTCTAAGTGATCACACTGCAGAACCCACTTGGACAAATAAACAGGCTTCTCGAGTAAATAGTCAGCTCAGCCTGGCCAAACAGATTAGAGATGCAGCACGGAGGAAGAATATTAAACACAGCTAATAAAAATAATTTCAATGGAAGGGAGTAGGAACTCAGTGCAGAAAGCTGTATGGCTCACCCACTCATTTGAGTGGTCAAGTGAAAGCACAAAACTGAAACAGGGGAAAACCTACATTTTCCTTCCCAGTTGCCTGTGTAATGAGAACTGCAGGTACTTAGTATTACTACTCTTCAAGTTAGTCACCTGTTTTAATATGGCTTATGCTGAACTAAATTCAAACTCTTCTATTTTAAAGCATTTGCTTATATTTCTCTTACATTCTTTTAAACAATGTTTTACAACAAAATACTAGTTTTCTTTAATTGAAAGCATTGAGCATAATTACTACATTTTGCATTCAAATACACAGACATGTAATACTTGATACTACACTTTCTTCTTTTCCATTACACCAATATAGAAGTGATAAAACTGCTTCAAGATCTTCTTTCGAAAGCCTGGTTTTAGTTCACCTACATTTTGCACCATGGTCCCAAGCCAGTTTAGCTGTGGAGCTGCCTACGTGTGCCATTCTAACACTGCTGAAATTACTTACCATGATTCAAACACTTGAAATTTCCTATAAATTTTACGTATTCATACGTAGGTTGCTCTTTTGGATCTATTGTTCCTCGCAGCATATGGCAACAGAATTCTAGCTGATTTTTTGCTAGAAAAAAAGAAACCAACAAAGTAATAGGCTATATACTTGATGAAGTACACAGGCAACATGCAATGGAAAGCAGGAATAATGAAGCTGAATCTATATTGAGGTACTGTACATGTAGTGATTACAGCTGGCTACAGGGATGCCTTGGAGTGGCTACCTAGAACAGAGGACAGACAGGATTAAGAGACTAAAGTACGTATTTATTAAAGGCCTTCAAACAGGTACACAGTGGACACTCAGAAGCCTTCCAGAGGCTACACTCAAGAGGGATGACATTCATGAGTTTTTTCAGACAGATATGTTTAGTCCATTTACATGTCAGCGGTAAATCCTCCAATTACAGCTTCGAGTAATTAAATCATATACCCCCAGCTTGCTCCCCCTCAATTCACTTTCATTTATACTTTTCAGAGCCTGATGCTGTGGGGTGTTCTGGAATCTCAGGCCTAGAGGGATTGTCTTGTCTGACCAAAATGTGAAGATAGTTAACTAACACTTTAGATGGTGTCTGGAGTTATGCATGAACGCAGTGCAGGATTTGAAAAATATAAAGGCTAAAATCTTAAGGCATCAACAGTGTCTGCTTTTAACCAGAATGACAGTAACTAACCTAAAGAATACTTTAGATTTTGTGCACAAAGGGCTTGAATATTAGTGACACAAAAACCTCTGAGAACTAGAACTGTATTAAAGAAAATGCCCTGAATTTCAGTTCACTAAAGCACATGCTCCCAAACTCCATTAGGGTGCTATGTATTTACTTGCCAACTGCTAAAACTGTCTAAATAGAAGCTCTATATACAGAATGAACATTTCTAATACACAGGAATATAGACTAAAAGGCAATGTAACTTTGAAAATTCTACTCTGGAGCAGAGTTGACACAAAGTAACACTTCTGTTCTTCTTGGCTGAAGTATATGTCTCTGCTTAAATAACACTGCAAAAACTGATCATGTAAAATTCCAAGTAGATAGTTTTAACACAACTACTGTACTGGTTTTATGTGGGATAGGGTAATTTTCTCCATAGCAGCTCACATGGTGCTCTGTTTTGGATTTTGACTAGAACACTGCTGCTAACACGGGGACGTGTCCATTATTGCTCAGCAGCACTTACTTACACAGTGCAAAGGCCTTCTCTTTATCTCACTCTGCTCCACTGGTGGGGAGGCTAGGGGTGCACATGTAGCTGGGAGAGGACAGTGCAGGGAGGGCTGAACTAAGGAATATTCCATATTTATGACACTGTACTCAGCAATAAAAGCTGGGGAAAGGAAGAAGAGGGAGACATCTGGGTTTATGGCTTTTGTCTTCCCAAGTAATCATCACTCATGACATAAACCTGCTTTCCTAGAGACGGCTGAACAACTGCCTACCAACCAGACAGAGCAAACTATTCCTTATTTTACTTTGCTTGTGCAGACAGCTTTTGATTTCACCTGTAAATCTGCTTTATCACAACCTACAAGTTTGCTTACCTTTACTCTTCAGATTCTTTGCCCATCCAGCTGAGAGGAGGGAGGGAGGGAGGGAGGGAGGGAGATTGAGTGGGGCTGAGCTGCCTACAGGGGTTAGCCCAAAATAACTACTTACATTTTAAGTATTCCGGTGTCAAGGAATCACTTTCCAGCAGATGAGAAGACAATATTTTATAAATTTCTGAATGTTCCCCCTCTGGGATAAAATTAAATACACTCTGATCCACAAGATCAGACTGAAAGAAAAAGATTTAATAAGCATTAATTCAAGATGTGCAATGTCACAAAGCCTACTATTTTAATGCAAAACAATTCCAAAGTTCATTACTGACTCAACAAAGCCACCTGCTGGAATATATATTAATATTTTGCAAAGAAAAAAAAAAACTCACTCTGATATGCCTGCCCCATAGGGAGTGGTAAATGAATTTCTTGCTTTGATTTGCTTGCATACATGGCTTTTGCTTTACCTATCAAACTGTCCTTATCTCAACCCATGAGTTTTCTCACTTTTACCCTTCCAATTGCCTCCCCCATCCCACTGAGGGGTGATGAGTGAGCTGCTGGGTGAGGATGAGTTGCCAGTTACCATATTTTATAATCAGTTCTATAGCTGTGTACACAAAACTGTGAACAACAGAGACGGATGCAGCAAAACTGAACAAGTGTTTATATGCATGGATGCATTTGGTTAAGTATTCAAAAAAGAGGAATCATAAAATATATGTTTAGAATTCATAAATCACACCTAAAAGCCAAGAACAAATGTGGCTCTGAGAACCTGGCAAACTCTACTAAAAGAAAAAATAAAAATCACAATTACCTGCATTATTTTTAAAAATTCTTAGAATGTTATCATGTATACCTTAAGAGAATTGATTTTGTCTCTTACCACAGTAAGACAACTAGACTTTACAGAGAGTTTGTCCTTCTCTTCTGGAAAAGCACTCAATTTAACTCATCAATTGTTTGCACTCATTAATTTGCCTCACTTCACAACAGCATTATTCAAAGGTAACTTTAAAACCTGGAATGTTACACGTACCAGCCAGCAATGTCACCCAGATTAAAGGTAAGTGAATATGATAAACCCTAAAGTATATACTGGACTTAAAAAGCAGAACTAATTGCAATGTATTTATAAGAATTCTTTGTCAAAAAAAAGAAGTAAAAAAAGTAGTTTAAAAATTCAGTTATTTAGATATTTTATAATACTCTTCTGACTCATGTAGAGGCTGTGAACTATAACGGGTCTTCTGCAAACAACTGTAACTTCAGTTTCATTGAAACTGATGCTAATAATAATAATAATAATAATCCTTTCTAACAGAGCGCTGACTGCATTCTGCATTTCCAAAGGAAATGTTTAATATAGAAGACAGACCAGCAGGAAGCAGTTGTGCTGAAGAATAAAGAGAAACATTAAAACAAAGCACACCTCTGACCTACAATGTCAAAAAGGCCAACAATTAATTAGTACTCATATCAGAACACGAATCAACCACAGACAAACCGATATGTTACTGAAAGCAATTTGTTACTTACTGGCAAATGTTCAAGTAAGGGAGTTATACTTTCAGACACATATATTATATTTCCATCTGTCATAATTGCTAAAAAAAAACCATCAAGAGCCTGAAATTAAACATAATGGGCAGTTAAATAAAAAAGAATCAGAGCATACTAAAAACGTTAAGCTATATTCAATACAGAAAATACAGACCAATTTTAGTTTAGTTTATTAGAGAAATGAGAATGTCTTTCCCTACTAAAAATCCTTAATCTTGTTTTTACACTAAAAGCATTACAATTTCCATACTGTTCTGTTTTTAAATTATCTGTGGTTTCAGAAGAAAGTACATGTATAGACAGCCACTGTTTTCTCTAACTCCTACTCTGCCTGCATGTTATTTTTAATTCTGTCACCATTTTAGATGTCAGAAAGCTCATAAATGAGCTAGAGACAAAAGCAAGATGTGGGAAAACTATGAGAAGAACAAGTAAAAGAGCCAGCAAAATCAATGAATTTTAGTATTTAAAAATCTCAATATTCCCAATCTCAAAGAAAGAAGCTTGCAGTGAGACTTTATTGAGACTTGAAACCTGTGAGATACAGTTCAGACTACCTTATCTTCTACTGAACTCAAATTTCTTTCCACTGAATACAACACAATGTTTCAGTTGAAAGTTACCCACAAAAGCATGTCGGAATGTATTTCTAAACAGGAAACTTTAAAGCTCACATCTTCAAAAAAAAGTCTTATATCGGAGGATTTTTTTTTTTTTAATTTTTAAAATACCAAAACTCAGAACTTTTTTTAGTATCTGTGCATCAAAGCAAAGGTTTAACTATGGAATGAAAATAAAAAAGTGTTTGTTAATTTGTAATATTTTTCATTTTACTATTATTAAAAATTGTTTCACTAACAAGATATAAATGACTTATACTCATTTTCAATGAAATACTTTAAAGTTTCTTACTGGTAGTTTTGCAATTATTCATTTAATCTTCATGAAAATAATGTTCTCACACCAGTTTTGGAAAGCATAGCAAGTAAAGAAATTAAACACTTATTTACTGCTTACAAGTTACATGGATATGTTATGCCTTTTTCATAGTTAGGATTTTAATTTACGCATAATATTCTTTATCTAGTACCTTATGTTGATAATTTTAAAAATCCACTTGGACAGTAAACATTGTTGATTTACAGACCTGCTCTGTTACTACGTTCATTTAATTGAAAATGTAGTTCAAAGAAAATCTGCTTTTCTGAAACAAAATTCTGAGACTCTGAATACATAGGCCTTTTGATGGTTTATCTTCATGAAAACATACAGTTACAAACCCAATAAGTGAATAAAAAGGCATGCCATCAAACTGAAAAATTTCATAATGGAATGACTCCTGGTGAGGAATTATTCTACTCCCAGAGAAACAGAAATAATATACCTCTAACATTAACTGTGTGAACTCTTCATTACTAAGGAATGTCGGTTTCCAGTCCTGTCGAATTTCACTGGCATCTGATTGTGCAGTAATTTCTATAATCAAACACATACACAATAAAAGGATTAATACTCAATTTTTCCCCCTAAGCTACATATACACAGTTAAGTAGAAAGTTCTCCAGTCTCCTCTGTTGTTCATTCATTACATATAGATGTTGCTCCTTGAAAAGAAAATAAATGTCTTCTCCCGTGTCATAATTAAATTTGTCTTCTCTTTCCTTCAACCAGTTTATGCTACAGTCCTGCCAGACTTCAAGATAATACTGAAATAATGGACTTTGACAGTGCAAAAATACTACACTTTCCTCTGAGATTATAATAAAATGTTTTATTAGGAGTGTTGTTTACAAAGATTTAGAAAGCCAAAATTCCTGATCTGTTTATGTCATTAAAATGGCTAATGCTCAAGTATCTTGGTAAATCCTTGTCATTCTAATCCTTGACAAAAAATTATCATTGTCCTTTCTCTTTTTCCTGCTCTCTTCTGGTTACACTTAAAAAGATTAGTTTTTCAACAAAGATTGTTAAGTGCTGTATTACAGACTCCAGTCTAGAATTCCTGCCTGTTACAAATACACAGATGAATTTGGACATAGATGAATCTTAAGTAGAGGTTCCTGCAGGAGTTGAGAAATATACAGATTAACTTCCATATACAGGCGAGAGAATCAACAGCTGCTAAGCAAAGCCTGACCCTGGGTTCTGAAAGTGATGCTCCTTTATCAAGTGATAACTGAAACAAGATGCAAGACCTCTTAGTGCTTCAGTTCTGATGAATAACAAGGGTATCACAGATGTGCTGGCCTTAAGAACAATCTTAGACAAGTAATCAGGTATTTAGACAAATCAAAAGAACCAAACCAATTCTTTAAAGTTTTTTATTTTTAAAGGACATATCTGTACAAAGACCATAAGCTAGAGACTTAGTTCAGATGGCTTAAAGAGCCAGAAAACCTGGAATTGAGTTAAATATGCAAAGGGCTGGAGCAGTTTGCAATTCTGTTTACCACATTGAGGGGGGAAAACTTTACAAAAAAGGCTTTAGACTTAACTAAAAGAACCACAAACAACATCAACGTCATGCAAGAAACTGGCCAGAAGTGGAAAGCTGCAAGAGGTGAAAAAAATATCAACAAATATGACTTTCCAATAATCAGATCTCACAAAACATAAATTCATCAGGCTCTTCCAATTTGTTTTGAAATGGTAGCACAAAGCAGAAAGAGTGGGCTGGAGAATAAAGAAAACAGAAGTATGACCCCAAATGTAGCTTTTCAGTCAGCAAAATGATATTGAATACTAAGGGGCAAGTCAAAGGACACAAAAATGAAAAGCTTTGCACCAAAGTGGAGGCAAAATTCCAGGAACTTCTCATACCACAGAACACAGATAATCTTCATTTTAAACTGGGAAAGTCTGATTCAGTGGCTTATTCTGGCCCTTGTAACCATCCTACTTCAGAATTAAAAAGACTGTCTTTTGCATTAGAATGGATTTGTGCTAAATAAAAGCTGAAATTCATGCCTTTAACAAACAACTCTGAAATACCACAAGTACAGGTGTTCTTTTACATTTTCCATCATTACAGCAACTATGATAGAGGCAAACAGCTGAAGTAACAGAAAGAACCTGTTTCACTTGGTACCTTCAGAGAAACGCCTAGAAGTTCTGTCAGAAGGTTGCACTCAGATAAATGGCAGTAAAGTCACATTCCTGAGCTAGATAACAGAAAGAGGAGCATAACCAAACTCTGACATTAAATTACAGTTTTCAAGTTCTGTATCTGAAGTAACTATAGCAGCACGTAGAATTCTCAAAAGAAATTGCTAGCCAAGCCAAGATCTGCACCATTTCTCTGTGGGTTGCAGGAGTACCTGCAATTATTCTACCTGCAGCTAAACTGCTCAGCATTTACTAATTTAAAAAAAAATTCTTGTTTACAAATTCAAAGAAAGATGACAGGCAGTATTAGTCAAGGAGAAGTTCCCAGTGATACAATTCCAGTGTGTTTAGCCTCCCGTATTTTCCCAGTGAGAAACAGAATCCACACTGGCCAATAACCAACCCAGATAGCTCATCTGGAGCTGGTGACAGAGTACCAACCTCAGATAATGTGGAAATAGTCTAGAAAGAACCAGAAGCAACACAGTTAAATCCTGGTGGCTGAACACAGTAGGATTTCCACCATAAAACAGCTACTCAGTGCCGAACAATCCATTTATTGCTATGTCATTCTGCTTTATTGCAACATATCCAAGCACTTCAGGAAATAAAATATCCTTCTGAACTTCGCCAACATTTTGTCCAAAAACATTTTAGTGTAAAACACTGCACAGCAATGCTAGTAAGCACTGGCAGCCAAAGCTTTAGGGAACTTAATATGATATGTGCAGTCACACAGAGCTGCATTCTGTCATACCAAGTGAAGGACAAAAGTGCCATGCCCTAAAAGGAAACCATCTCCAGAGCTGCTTTTTGCCCCTTTATTTAAAAAAAAAAAATCATCTCAGAAAGCACTTTGAAGAAAAAAATATGGCTGGTGCTGCTGGTTGGCACTGCTGCACGTTTGTTCTGCATTCTGTATTTTATGCCAGGAGTCACCAATACAAGATAAGACAACTTTGAAACAGAACCAATTTTCACGAAGCCCTTATAACCTAAAGAACTGGATTTTACAGAAGAAGGGCCTTCATACTGCTTTTTTTGTTATGAGACACACGTATCTCAGAAAATTCAAACAGCATAATCAATATTTAATTTGTAAGAAAATCCCCAAATCTATGAATTATCATACAAATTATACCCCCCTCCTTTTGCATTTAAGTTATGTTTACAATTTTGATCGCAAAATTCAGGGCACATTTGGTATTACTGGAAACATAACACTCATGGAAGAGACATGCTAGGGCATGGAAAAGCATTTCTCATACGTTAAACTGACACACATACTGTTGACAATTACATAACTATTCATCCATTTAATAGCTTTACTTATTTTATAACCTTATACCTACTTCTTTTGACCCTACTGCTTTATAGTTACTATGTATTCCAAGAAACCACCCAAGGAAATTATTTAATTAGCAAAGAAATCCATTTACTTCAAATTTCATCTTATTTTTGGCAGTGTGAACCAGAAGGTGACAGATTAAGAACAACTGTAGGAGCAGGAACAGGGATTTTTTAATATATATTATATATATATTAATATATATAATATCTAGCCATAAACAAGCGTACACTTGGTGGAAGAATTTTTTTCATGACAGAAGTAACAACCTGTAACAAACTTCAGTGCAACATATCTGAGTATATCCCCACCATCAGCTGATGCAAACAGCCAGATGAACAAAGCATAGCAAGGATGTTCAAGGATATTGATCATTCTGGTTTTTCACATGACCTTTAAAGAACAACACACACACATACACTCAGTGGCTTCTACATCCAAGGGTACATTTTTCAACTTTAAGAGTTTAGTTGAAAGTATTTATAGATTTTTCTGGCATTTTTTCCCAGCTATAAGGAAAAATACAAAGCCAATATGCCCATACGCCAGGTCTCCATGCCCCTGTATTTCACTTTCTCTTGTCAAGCAACCAACCCAGAAACACTGCTAGAAACCACAATGACCTTATCACTTTTGTTTAAGCAGCCAGTTGTGTAAGCACTTGACATGACAAGAAGGAGCCCTAACTTCTCTTGGACTAGCTTTTCAGTGATTTATCTTGCTTCATGAATCCAGGCTTATCTAAATAACCAACTAAGTATTTCCAGCAGGTACTTCTACTGAAATGGATCACCGTTTTCCTGTGAAGCAAAACTTCAACAACTTGCACCAACGTTTGTCCAGAACAAAAAACTTTGAGGTTATTTAAAAAATAAATCTTCTCTTTGGGAAAAAGATTTCACTGAAAACTATGGGACGAAATAAATTGTACTGGGTTTTATAAAGTATAAGCAAAAACACAGTTACATCTCTGCTATCTAGATGATATTAAGAATATCTTTCTCCAGAGTGCTTCAAACTTTTTTGACAAATTCCTTAAAGAAGTTGCAAAATTTTTACTATTTTATGTAATAACTGAGTATCACTTTAAAAAATTAAGAATTTATAAATAACGTTTATTGTTACCTTTGTGCTTCCGTAAAAAGTCAATGCTCTTCTGCAGCACAGTGGATTTATCCATCTTCCGAGCATTACCTGGAAGCATGGAGCCCAACTCTTTGATAAGTACATTAAACTGATCTCGACGTTTCTTTTCGGACTTGTTTCTAGACACTCTGAAAAGCAAATCAGAAAATGTTTTATAAAAACTATGAGACTTTCTTATAAGCTGCATATTACTGCCAGGCTCCTGATGCAAAGAACTCTTAAGAATTTCTGCTGCGAAACTGTCACAAAAACACCTCCCTCAATATCTCAGACATTATTTTTGAAGAATGGCTTTCTCCTTGAGGAACACTGCAGCAAAGCCTTTGGAATAAAGTACCCTTTTACAAAAGACAAATAACGGAACCACAATTATAAATATACAATATATATAAAAAATGATAGTAGAAGAAATGCTGTTGAGTAATATGTTTACTTGTAAGAGTAATCTTTTTATTGTTTAGAAATCACACTACTGATAAGCGTACAAGTATAGGACATTTCTTAGCTTTAAATAACTTTGAAATTTACCTTTTTGCTTTATCTTTGTCATCTTCTTCCACCAGTCCATCAAAAATGCTTCCGTCATTTCTGAAAGAAACAAAAAGAAATAAATGTTGGAGTGGGAATTCCTCTCCTTTGAAGTCCAATCACAAAGAAGGAAGAAGAAGAGCTGGCTATTCACTATCATCATCTCCATTACATCAAGAAAGCAAGGAATTATTTTACTGTGATGTCTCATGAGGACCATCATCAGTAACCTGAAGCTAAGTCTTCTATGTTCTGCTTGTATTTACTAAACAAAAAGAAAAAAACCTTATATTTCTGACACAACTCAAAAGATTCTCAGACTGTTTCTCAAAAGAACTTACAACCCCATAGAAACACTTAACTGAACAAGGCTTAAATTTGGTTTTCTATCTTCTTGATTACTTGCATTTTTACTTACTGGCAATTTCTATTCCAACCACTGAAAAGGTATTTTTCTTAAATTCTGAAATATTATTAATGGAAGAGATCTAAGGAATATGCTATTCTTCATCCACATACGTAATTTCATAAATACACAAGTAATGCCAATGATAAACAGTAATTATTCATTATATTTTCTTCCTCGATAAATATCACATACTTTCTTAGCTTGACAACTGTCCATCTACTGCTAAAGAGGTGTTAAAATACCAAAATAAGAATGTGTTTTCCGTTGAAGATGCCTCAGCATCCTTCATACAATTCCTCTGTTTCATTTCCTTTTCCTTTGAAAATCAAGTTAAAACTCCTCTGTTTTCCAGAACTGCTCTATAATGGACTTTCACATGTTATTTCTCTAACTTCTCCCTGCTTTTAGTCTATTTAGTGTTGTCCACACTGACCTCTGTGTGTCTATCTTGGAATTTCTTATCTTAATGTTTCCTTCCCTTAAGACAAACAACCTTTCTAAAATGCTTACCTCGTCTCTCTGATTTATAAATCATCAGGCAATTGTACTGTACATTATTTTAAACAGTGATGTTAGAAAGTTGCTATTTTGTATGCTACTACATAAACATCAAGCTTTTATAAGCAATTCATATATTTAAAAGGCTGAAGTTTCAGTGAGATGCCACAAAATTTCACTAGAAGAACTGACAAGTTAGGCACGCATTACAGAAGTTTTACCCTTCGCTTTTATTCTTATTTTTTCAATTGTATTTAACTTGACATAAATTAGATGTAAGTTTCATTTTGCAAAGTCTCAAAAATGGTAATATACAGGATATTAAGTACAGATGTTCACCTAAGCTGCTAGGAGAGTGCAGCTCAAGGAATCAAGTAGAAAACATACTTCAGCTATTACTTTTCCCTTGAAATAGGTTAGCAGGTCACTTTACTATCATCTACAGCAACACTAATCATTTAAGTGTATTTGCTTTTCTTAATCAAAAACTGAAGTACTAAAAAAATTAAAAGTTCAAGTAAACATTAAAAATCAGCTCAACTTGCACAGATGTTGTTCCATAGCTGAAAATAAGTAATGCATTTTAAGATTAACCTCAAGCAATGGAAATCACTATTTCCAGTGACTACGAAATGACACATCTAACAACTACCAAACTAACTTTGTCAAAAATAAGCAAAACATCACCCTTTAGTTTTTGCATAAGCTAACACCAAAATGTATTTACCATACAGAGACTATTTAAGAAATAACTGAACAGTAATTCTCCCAAAACTCTCCATATCTATTAACATACCTGTCTGCAATGGAGCTCATTTTATGGGTGCTTATGGTAAAAAACATAACATATCACACTTTAGTCTTGTGGTAGACATTTGTACGCTTGCCTATAAAAGAAGAAAAAATATCAAAATGTGACTGAGGGAAAAAAAGTGTTCTTCGTTAGAGCATACTGACATTTTCATTTGCTCCTAATCCTCCCCTGTCTTCCAACCTTCTGCTCTGCCCTGTTCTCTCAAGCAGTCTCCATTACCAGCAAAACCTGGGCCTTGATATCTCATTGTACATGACGGAGTTCAAGAGACTATTACGAAAGGCTACAGTAAATAAGTCTGTACTAAACCAATACAAAACTTTTTATGACTCTGAATTGAGATATAGCTTTTAATTTTTATTTTCACTTTTTCCTAAAGAACCCTCATAAGTCTGAAGGTTGAACAGATGTTAAATACAATTAGCAGTACATTCTATTTAGAAACAGTGCAAACAGAAGGCATTTGGGATATAGTACTTTACAACTATAATTTATTCTTACTGTACGTTTTCTTGAGCGTATTGTTATCATAGACACGTGAAACGATAATAACAAGATACCAATTAGAATGTGATCTCTGTACTGTGAGAAATTTAATCTGACCATTTCTTAAAGCAGTCACTCATGGCAGGAAATTTTTGGTTTTCTAGACATGCATTTGACTTTGAGTTAAGAATGCAAATGAAATATTAATAGTGAGAAAAGGAATATAACACAGGTTATGAAAAGGCTAAATTCAAACAAAACAAATATAATTAAACAGACTTCTTTCATATGGAAAAGTCAGTTGTCAGAGGACAGCATGGAGCATGTCACGGAGCACCAAGATTGTAACACTGGCAGTAATTAGGGGACAACTGCATGCAGTAAGTTTTATATGAGCTGAACTTGCTGATCTTCAGGAATTTTTAATAGGCTACAAAGCTAATAGTAAAAAGGCTATTTATTTCAAAGATTATCTTAGTCCATTTAGTGACTCAGTATTTTCTGATAAATATTTGTTTGTTTCTGAGAGTACTAACACCAGTGGAACTTGCAATGTCAATACTACGAGAAATATGGCAACAAATGCCTGATGAGGGAACTGAGGAAGAAAGCTTGTGATTAACCAAACTGTCTCTGCATCTACAACAGCCACATACCGTGTGGGTTTCCTTCACAAGAGCAATATCTTTCACCACAAAGTTTCATAACTTGAGTGCAGCAAGAAAGTAAATGAGAGAGCTGCATTGCAGCAGAATCTCTTTCAAGGCACATCACAAAGTGTGCTGGTGCTTCTGCTGAAACGCCTCACTTCTTCAATTAGTACAGACCACCTCTGCCTTGCCTTCACCCTCCAAAATCTAGTGCTTTGAAGACAGACTGGCAGCAAATCACTTCTTCCCTCCAATTCTTCAAAATAACAACTGCACTGGACATACTGGCAAATTAAATTCCCCAAATTAGTAGGCCAAGTAACAGAATTGTACCATTGAAAACCAGCCATAAATTGCATGAGAAAAGTAAATTATGAAGAAGTGTCTGTTTGAATTTTTGTCAAAAATGCGCAACAAGAGACAGGTTGCTCAGCAGTAAAAGCCAACTATCGTGATTGGCATGGAACTAAGTTACAATCAAGACAAGAGCTATAAACTGGCTTTCATTTCTCTTACACAGTTAGCACTAATACAGCTATGCACTAATTACACTTCTAGCCCTGCATTAATTTTTATACAAAAATGGTACCTAAAATTATAGGGATCAAGAGCAATATGAAATTCTGTAACAAATTATACACTTTCCCTAATCTGCAAAAGAAAACCACCTCTACAACTAAATACAGAAAACTTATTTGTGACATAACTGACATATTCATTATGCAGAATTAGAATTTAAAAGTCAGTATCCTTCACTTTAACAGAGCACTCAATTCCCAGAATTCAACAAAATCATTCACTTCAATATACAGATCCTATGTCAGAACCAGCAACCTAGATCTGGTATCCAAGACAAATAGTTTAAAGTACTGAAAAGTACAGGAAATGCACCTGTAGCACACTGTTTTTTCATCTTTCAAGGTCTGACCCTTCTGTCTTTGCATCCAAATTTGCAAGACACTGAACACTGTCAGTGCTTATACATGCCAAGGATAAGACTGCAGAGATAATGCCACCAAATCAGTCAAGTTGAAAGTAAACACTAGGTAAATAAAGGACTATGTCTATTTCTACGACTCAAATTCAGTCATGTTCTGGAGAACAAAAGACACTATTTAACACTGCTACTCAGCCCGTCAGTGTTGATTAGTGAAAGCCATGAGAACCTTATTAATTATAAGAACACAGTTTTACCTTTTACACTTTGGGACTTGTTAAAGTATGAGGTTTAGGGATGAAACCTGGTTTCTGTGAAGAACAATGTGGACTTAGATGTATCCTCTTCCGAAGAAAACAAATTCTGAACTGTCAAAAAATAACAACGGAGAGCTTTAAAATCAGTGCGTTTAAAAACTATCTACTTCTTTTTTTAAATAAAGACAAGCAATTTTTTCAATGAGAGTAATCTCTAAATGCAATATTCTACTTATGAAATAAATCTCAAGTATTTCACTATCTGAATCGACATTGCTTTAAAGTTCTTTTTGATAAGCATAGTTTTATCTTGGCTATAAGCTATCACTTTACACCTATCTTTAGTCTTGATGCCCTTTTCACTTTCAAATTTGGTATCACTCATACCACTACATCTTCACATCCACTACTTTCAAAGTGTATTTATACACCATTATTTAAACATCTTTTCATTGAAGTTCCTATTACGGTCTTTTCTGGCCTTCTCTGTTTCATCTTCTCCTCTCCGAGTCTCCAGAATTGTTATTTTCAGGACTGCAGCACATGTAGAATGCTGCTGCTGCTGACAACTAGCAAAGCTGCCCCATTGCATTATTGCTTCTCCCTCAAACACAGCCATTAACACTTTGTTTCAAAACCCACTTTAAAATCAATTCCTAGAATGAATCACAAACTTGCTTCACAATGCACTTCTTCCAGACAAAAACCTCAGCACCGAGTTCATGTAAGTGATCACCTACTTCCAGTCTCTTTATACCATTACATTAGTTTTATAGTTACTTCCCCTGAACTATGCTGCTTTCCACATTTTTAAGCTACGTGAAATCAGATTTTTTTCCCCTCATCCCCGTTTCCATCTGTCTTGCTTACTGGTCTTAAAACAAATTCACTGTAGCATGTACTTCTTCCATTTCTGAAAAATTTTATGTTAAAGTATATTAAATTCTAAAAAGGAAGCTGGGATCTATAAATTAAGATTATGCTACTCATAAATTCATTAATGATTTTTATGGAAAACACCAGAATTACCACTTGATACTTATCACCAAAATTATCATTTGATTTGAAAAGTTAAGTGCCTTCTGCACCTAACAGAGACTCTCAAGGGGTTAAAATACAGATGCAAATATTAACATAGGAAGTTAAAGCATAGCAGAACAATCTGCCAACAGGAGAGAAATAATTACAGCATGATTCAATGAAGCCACTCGTTCATGTCTGGCCAAATAACCTGCTGGCCCATTGACCTACTTTTTTAGGTGCCTACAGCCTCCTCTCCTATTCTGTTTTGTTCCATTTGACAAGTGCAAACATTAATAGTGACAAAGAGTCCCATGGAAGTCTGCAACATGAAACCAGTATTTTTAAACTGCTTGTAGTGCAACTCTGCCAGCTCTCACCCAGTGCCTAACAGAGTTCTAACGATGAAAATTTTAGACCTCTCTGCAGTATGTAGAGGTGCATTTCTTTTAAATCACAATTATACACTTAAGATAAACATCACAGGTCTTAATCACAGAACGATCTTCTATAATGTCAAAAAAGGGAGCTCTTACACGCATTTCAAAAAGAGATTTGAAGAAGAGCAGGAAAGGAATATGCTTGTGTCATGAACGAACACAAGCAAGCTTAAGTCAGACCAAAAGAGAAGCCAAACACAGTGGAAAAGCTTTTGCTGCCAAAACCACATAGATCTCTTAACTCACTAGAAATGGCATGCGTGTGAAAGCCAGCAGAAAGGTTAAAACGCCTACATGCCAGCACTGGCAGCCACAAGTGTTCAAAGGTCATCATTCTGTCTCCACAACTCATTGATTTTTTTAAAAAAATTAATTATGTGTGTCTGTCACTTGATCCTATGTGTTTTGAACACATTCAGACATGTTTTCCAACTCTTCTGTAACCAAGGTGGCTAGAAATTTATTATCTTAAAGGAAGCTGAGGTCCTTAATCAAAAATCTTAGCTGCTGCCATGGATGTGCAAAACATTACTACACAAAATTGCTCAATATGTAGAAAAATTACAAAAACTAGCAACACTGCAAATTCTGCACTATGCTGACTTATCACTCATGGAGAGGCAATAAGTTATTGGGTCCCAAGTCATTGCTTGGCCAAACAAAAAAGGTTCTGAATAAGTTAGAGGGTAAAAAGTCATAATCCAACATAAGGTAATAAGGTCCACACCATTTGATAAAAAATTCCATTTTTTTAGACTGAAAGAATTTCAGTGTCTTCAGTCAAATTTTATTATCAATATAGGAATGCACATTGGTAATATTAAATATTGGAAACAAATTCAAAGATTGAAAAAACTACGAAATTACAGTACAGCCTTGCTAATGACAGACGTTCTGTCAGGACTGCACTGAAAACTGAATGGGACAATGGTGAATACATTGCCTGTATTTTATTTTGTATAGAGCCAGTAACTGAACTCCCTACGTCTCCAGCACTTCACCGTAATGGTAACACTGGTAATTATTTTTGAAGAAGAATTAAGTATTGCCCTTATACTGTAAAAAATATTTTTATAGAAAAGCCTTGATTTATGTTACAGCATACAAATAATACATGATTTTGCAGATTACAGCCCTCAGAAATAATGTGAGGTGGCTTGTATTATTAAGACAAATAATTTCACACCAGGAATATCACAGGAAAAACATGGGAAGCAATACAGTTTTCCAACCCTACAGTTTCTTCAAACAGAAATATACTAACTTCTTCAATACAACTTGATTTCTGTGCTATAATCCAATTCTGCCAGGGGAGCAAACTAGTTATTAAAATCATTGAGAGTTAACTGTAGAGAAGATCTTGTTTAAAGAATCAAAGCCACAGCACCCAGTGCCCTGCAGAGCTCTAACATTAGTCACCCACCAGGGTAAGAAATACCAAGAGCAGAAACATCACACAGAGCAAACAGCTGAGCAGAACCTGACTTCCAATGTAAGCACAGCGTCAGAAGCCCTGTTCACTATAGAGACTGTGAAGGTAATTACAAACCTTCCTGATACTTCTTTCCATGACCTTCTGATCATTTGGATTATGAATTTCTGAGGTTATACTCTACTAGGACATTATACCATAATTAGGGCAAGCAGAGATCCAGTCATTATCTCTTCCCAGAATATCCAATCACTATCACTCATATTTTCCACTTTGCTTTTTGCTTCACTGGATTACCTCCAGCCCAGCCATTTTTCTCTTTACCTTTCTCTTTTTTTGGAGGTGGGGTAGAGGGGAGAGTAATAGGAAGAATTGGCTCTGGTTTAGTTTCTCCCCAGGAACCATAGCATTTTGTAGAGCAAGAGATTTTTAGACAGGTAAACCATAACCACCTGCTCTCTAGTCACATATAGGTTGGTCTAATAGAACAAGCAAGCAGGTTTCAAGGTAATTGCTCCTTTGCTTGCAATGGTAGATACACCAACAGAAAACAAGTTAGGGTAATGACTGATTAATCTTTTCTTTCTAATCAAAGGCTGTCTGCGAAAATACTGTATTTTAAAAACTGACATGTCTGCTTCTTTACCTAAAAAAAAAAAGGGCAATTGGAAAAAAAATAAATCAAAAGATAGGGCTAAAAGGAGCTTCAAGGAACATTGCTCAAACTTTGCAGTTGAACCGGTTATTCCAGCAGCTGGGAATAGTCACATATTGCAAGCTCTTCTCTACCACATCAACAAATCAGTTTTTGGTCTGTGCTTGTGCAGAAACAATGACACATCCTAGAAATGTCATTTCCTGAGATAAAACACGCTATAGCAGCAGGTGTTCATCTTCAGTGCTTCACAGGACAATCGATGAGAGGACTGCTTCTAGCATGGATGTATCCCAGATGACTTTTAATAGGAAAATTTGTAAGTAGCATCAGTAGTCTGCTGTGGATAAGCAGCTTCCTTAGGCCATCACCTTTTCAGGGAGTACTCAAGATATATAATGGAGAAAGTGCAGCAGAACAGAAGACTGGTGGCGTGAGTTGCCATTGCCTGAATGGCAGTCTCACGTCTGCTGAAGGATTTTTGGGAAGAGAGTTAAGTCCAAGCAGTCTATATGAGATGTTAAATGCCTGTCAGAAGGCCTGTTACAGTGATAGTTAGTGCTATCACTGATTTAGTTGAGTTATAATGACATTTGAAAGAGTGCATACTATTTGCGTACTATCATACGCAGTCCACAGCAGCTAGAAGAGACTATAGATCACCCTGAGTAGCAGAAAACGTGACAACAGAGGTAAAGAGAGGTGAAGTTCTTAGAAATGGTTTGTCACACAGATGTGCCCTGGTCTATTCCCTGACAAGGTAATGGACCTAAACAAGCTGCTCAAACAAATTTGCTCAAAAGTGACTGCAAATAATATCTTCATAGAAACACGAATTATGAGGACTACAGGAAAAAGCAATTCTCTCCAGCATGCTTCATGTTTTAGATTGTCCCACCATCAGGAGAGAGATTTCTCTAGAACTTGAGACTGATGGCAGTTTTGACTGACATTTGCAATTTCCATCATTTTAGCTCACGAAAAAAGAGAACACCCCTGCCCTTCACTCCTTTGCTCCAGATCCTTTGGGCTGATCTCTGCTAGACCAGCTGTTCTGCGGCCACTCTTCTACCCTTCTCTGCAGTCTTTATCTCTTTCCCCTTACTCAAGGCAGAGATGGCCTCACAGCTCCCTCCCTGATAGAGTGCAGCTCCCTAGTCTTTGTCCAGACTTCAGTGAAGATGCACGCAGGAAAGCTTTAATAAGCCTCAAAACTTTACCTGGGCTACAGTGATTACACGCTGGTGGAATTTGCAGTCCCAAGGGATGTGAAGCTAGGCCTCTGGAGCTAGCCAATATGAGCCCCAGGGAAACTGCCCTCAGGCACACGGGAGAGCAACAGAGCTCACAGATGTGCAAGGATGTCCTCCATACAGAACAAGAGCTAATGATCTCCAGGCACAAGAAACTGGAAGCAAGACTCTAGCAAGGATGAGAAGGGACTGCTGGTCAAACTAAAGGGCAAGACATAAATGCATCCCTCTACTCTCTCCAAGGACAGATATCCTGGGAAGAGTAGAGGGACGCAGTCCAGTTGTAAAGGAATGGGATGAAGAAGGCCATG